TTTCATATAATTACTATTAAATTAAAGGTTTTTCTTCAGGTTTTAGAAAATTAAACTAATAAATCTGATTATTGTCATTTGGATACAAGATAGCTTTGGGCATATCCTTCTCATCATAAACAATAACAGGTCTAATAAAGAATCTATTTTGGTATTGGATCTTATATTGAGCTACTAAATTGCATTCCACCCAATCCCATAATCCCAATGGTTATTCCAGAGTCGACACTACCAAATGTCTTGAATCCTTTGTGAATTAACTAGATGTTGTGTGAGTTTTCTTGCTTCCACATATTGTCACTAAAGAATCTGTTCCATATGAATCAAATACACGGGCACACTTATAATATATTTCACTTTTTACACATTGTCTAAACCAGTTGTGGTTACATATCTCCCAGTTTCATTGTATTTGCATTAAGTTATTTGCATTGAGTGTGCTAGAATGCAATTAAATGGTAATTTCTAACGAATATCCCAAAGTAAAATAGTTTTTTCATTGGCTGCACACACTTCATTCCAAATATTGCTATCTCCACAATATGTAAATTCAGTGTTTATTTAATGACTAATAATTTATTTTTCCATATCTAATATTTATAGAGATTATCCAAAGAGATAAAGTTAATTCTTATTGAAGCTATCATGATGACTGAAAGTGCAGCTATATAATAATTTCTCACTCTCCAATTCAAAATACGTATTCGTCTTATAATTATAAATAACTATTTTATTGTTTTTATATATCAAAGCAAGAAGTTAGTTTTTACAACATTACACTTCCAAACACAAACTGTCCTGCTTTGGAATTTCTAAATTTTCAAAATCTCCTAAAATCTAATCATTCGCTTCCTTTTGCATTTTCCCGCTCCTTGTTAAAATATTATTTAAAATATTTAATGACTTCACTTAAATATATAAAAATCATTTAATTATTTAGTATAAGAATGGAAAAATTAATTTGAATGTTTGAACACATTGGGATAGTCAAGAATGATGTCTTGCCTAAACGGAGGTGCTCAATTAATCTTGGTTAGTTTTTTAACATCCTTCTAAAATATTATTTAAAAACATGTGCTTTCGCTAACCATTAAATAAATTAAATTAAATTAAATAAATAATGTTTTATTAAATCAATAGATATTAGCTTATATACTGTTTACTATTCTAATAATTTTGCTATTTTAGTCAAATTGGAAAAACTGAAGATATAAATGGGTCATTCTTGCCATACTAATGCTTTAATATTCTGGCAACAATTCCTCTTCGATTTCAATTTTTTTATAATTTGCATGGCAAACCTTGTAAAGTGTATCAAATACATGTGATACCATATAAAATAAAACAATAATGATAGACGCATATTAATAAATTCAAAAGAAAAAAAAAGATACCAAATAAAAATTTTAAGATGTGTTTTCAATCAAGAACTAGTTTTAAGAAGATTATACGATTGATTATTAGGTCATTTCGTAATTTAAAATATTTTTATTGAAATCTCAACACTATATTGTAATTATTTGAGTAATTTATTTATTTATTATTAATGAAAAGTTCTACTTTGAAAATTAATCTATATTGAAAAATAAATTAGTTCAAACGTGAAAAATAAATATTGATTATAAATACAGAAATATAAATTATTGAGTTTCAAATCCAAATATAAATCAGCTCATAATTTATTCAGTGGAACTCAAAATTAAAATTGATATAAATTTAAGGATTCTAAATATTGTAAATCTATAGAATTTCATTAATTTGAGAATTAATAAATTTTAAGTTTTGTTAAAATTATACATAATTTTATAAATTACTGATCTATAGTTGTATTTGCTAATTAATTATGATTGAAATTTCTTATATCTTATTAAAGACTTTGGAGTTAAGAGAAAATTCTTTTTTGATTAAATGAAGTACTTTGTTTAATGACAAATTTATTATTAAGTTTCCAATTAATTATTGATATATTTATGATTATACATTTATATAATTCATACCACAGGGATAAATTTCGCCTCGTGAATTCTAATATGAAGGTGGCCTAAAAGATTTATCCATTTCTTATAGAAACTAATATGAACTAATCCCATTATGATGGCAATCTTATCAATTTTCCTGACGCCTTCAAATTATACAGCAAAACGAGGATAATTAATTTCAGGACATAATTTACAGCATTACCCTTACATTAAAGTTATTTAAGAGCAAGCTTCACATGGAGTTCTAGTATTAATAATTTGGCATCTTCCTTAAGTAAGACCATCTACATGATAATTCTTTGAAGTTGTAAAAAGATCGAAACATGCCAAACAACCGCATCCCCCAATCACATTTTCTGGACAACTGTTCTTATCTGGTCTCAAAGTTAGTTAATAATTCTTTTCAATTGGGGAAAAAATTTTTAATTTTGGATAGGAACTCAAAAAATGTGAATAAAAAACATCACACACGTTTGGAAAAGTTTAGAGAAATTCAAAAACTTATTTATCATTTACAAATATCCTTCCAATACCGCCAGGCCAAAATTCTAATCTTACTTACTCATTTTTTAGAACATAAACCTCTTCTGGGTATGCATGTTCATCGCAATCGATAAACCTACAAAAGCAACAACAAAAGATTAAGCACATAATTTCTACTGTCAGAGAAAAGTCAAGTTATCCTATTCCTTGAATATCAAATTTAGATTCTCCAGTAATAGAACCATATCCAAAACAAGTATTGTCATTATACTTATATTAATGTTCAAATTCCACTTAATCCGGGATATTTATACCTTTGAGCAATTATTCCAATTCATCTGATTTAGATGTATATGCCTATAATTATGTTAAATCATACATTATTATCAACGTTTTATGAATGCAATGGCTAGTATGGGACATTAGGTTAATAGTCAACTTGATCAATTATTTATTTCATTTAATTACTTAATTATAGAAAATATCTTCAGAAAACCATTTAAAGTCTTACGTCTATTATATTACGTCATAACCTTAATACTTAGATAAAAATGAAAATTGAATTCTGACGATATATTGTTTTATCCATGGTAATTGTGTATTTGTAAATAAATATATATTAGATTATTATAATCAAAACTAAATCTAAGTAGAAGAAGGAACACTATTGGATAGTTTTTGTTAAAATTTGAACAATTTTCTGATTTAATATCCTTTATAACATAAACAACCATGAATAATTCCAATAGCTAATAAGAATGCTATATAGATAATAGAGCTGAAATAAAATATTTAAATACAAAGTGTCCTTGATTGATTTCTTAATTTGGCAATCATTTTCTTCACCTTGCCATTGAGATTTCTCACATAAATTTTAATATAAAGGCGAACCTAAGGCAATTACAGTGGCTATCAAGTCTGAAAGAAAAGTTAGACAATTTCCAAAAATCCAAATAGTAATAATTAATAGTGCTCTTTTATTTATAAAGAGACAATACAGAATCATATTCAAGATAAATAATGTAAAACTACAATAAAATTAATCAATTACCTGCAAATCCAAATAAAAGCTGATAGTAAACAACCATCATATATAAATTATGGTATTATTCTTCCTAAGACAAATCCTAAGAGAAAAATACTACTTAAACTTGAAAAGATTTTCAGACTATGATTGTTATATTATTTTACGCTCTTTATTCTTGGTTGCACTTTGTACATGCATAGGTAGGTTTGCCAGACGGAATTTCATGTGGGAGATCGTGAGTTTCAATGAACACAGCAGATATTTTAGAATTGGGTTTCGGTTTCAGGTCTCTTTGGCAAGAATCCTCACTTTTTTAACTATCCAAAGGATCTACAATTTAGAAATGGCTAAATGTTACATTAAATAGCTTCTTGTTCAATGCTTTACGTTTTTTAATTGATCATTTTAGGTAGTGGAATGAAATTGTTTATAATTATTACGCAAAAGTATAAATATAATTTATTGTTGTGATGTATGATATTTCAATTATCAGTTATTAACTAAGGTTAATTAATTTTGATGACAACTGGAGTCTTTTCTTTAGATTGTCACTATATAGACGATAATTCAATTGTTAAATCCAAAATTTCTTTATATAATTATTAAATCCACAACATATATTTTTAAGTTCTATTATATAAAAGTTTTTATATTTAATAATACATATATTATCATTTATTTTTTAATTGTTAAAGAATTAACTTCTTCTAATGAAGCAATTAACTTTGTTTTGCTAACAATTCTTGAGCTTTTTGCCAAACTCTTTCCTCTTCCTCTTTTTTTTGACTATTAGTTTGCTTCTCTTTCTTATGTCCTCTAGCACTATTTATTCTATCTTGTCTGTATTTGCAGGCACTGTCTTTTTCATTCTTTAAATCCAATTTTTATATACTCAGGATTTCTGAACTCTATTTTATTATTTGACTTTGATTCTTTCTCATATCTTATTAATCGCATTTTTGTTATTATTTCATCATGACAGAACTATAAGCCTTCTGTTATTGTCTTTCTCTGAATTCTTAAGCCTTTTTCTATTTATCATGCTCTTTAATTGCTTGATTTAATTTATATTGTTCTTCATTTTCTCTTAAGATATCTTAATTTTCTTTCTGAACTGCTTGTTTTTATTATTGCTTTTCATTTCTCTTATCTTTCCATAATTATTCATTTTCCATTCTTTTAATCTTTTTAATTTCATTTTCTTAAATCTAAAGATTTAATTGCCAGGCATAGAAGTCAATACCAAATTTTTCAAGCATTTCTTAATTTTATTTTTATAACACATCATCCTTATTTTTCTTTGATGCATATCTTGTACCAATTTGTTTCCATTATTCTTAATATTTCTTATTATCATTCAATTATAAAATATGATCGTTCTCAATTTTTAAATTCTCCATTAATTAAAAACATTATTATATTACATAACATTGTCTAATTATTTAATATAATTCTTTGTTCTGAATAATGGTGACAGCTTCTGATTAAGACATCAGGTTTTGAAGCATTTCTAAAGATTCTTCAAAGAGACATAGGTCTCTTTAAAATATTTATCGTTACAATAATAATTTTGGAAGTTGTTTAATAGTTTAAACTGTTTAAGATACATTCTAAAATGCTTTTTATATTAATTTTAAATTAATGGGAGGAATTTTCGAGTTAATTCTTGGGAAATCGTTATCCACAATAGCAATAGCAATAATAATTGGTGTGAATATTGCATTTAAATATACAGACTCACATTGTTATTATAGATTTAACTATTAGATGAATTGAGTTGTCAAATATTCTGTCATTTAAGAATACATTCTCTGGATAATAGAATTATTATCTTGTTTTTGTTAAAGATTAGGTTATTTTTTCATTAATAGATGGCTAAACTCTTTATATTGATCATTGATTTTAATAATTGATTATTTTGATAGCCATCCTTTGCTTTATACTTCTTTTGCAAGTGATACGGTGAATTCAAAAATTTCATTGGTTTTCGATTATAATTGTTACATAACATACTAGAAATATACAAAATAAACTTACGAGTTAAGTTTTTCCATCTTTTAAATCATCTACAATTGGTTTAGATTCTAAAGCATCTCTAATTTCTTCCATCATTTATATTCTGAAGGGAGAGAAGGTTGGGTGAGTTCTTTTTCTTTATTTTGATTCAACAGTTCTTGATTAAATCGATAATTAAGATTAAGGCTGTGATTAACAAGATTATTATTAATAAGGTTACTATTACTATTATTATTGTTATTATTTTCTTCGTTCATCTATAAATGCTCTTTCAACTGTTATTTCTTAATATTATACAGGTATGCTGTACTCTTATTGCGGCAATAAATCATCATTTAAATATTCCATCTCCTTCAATACTTATGGTGTGAATAAACTACCCAATAAGGATACTTGTTAGATTTATGGTTATTTTTTTTATTATTGTCGTAATCTTTATGGAGATTCACTTATAGGAACAGGCATAATTTACTATTCTTAATCATTAATAAACTTATTGGCACTAGTAATTTGAAATTTAGTTTCTGAACTATTGAATTCATTTTTGTTTTCACTAGTAATTACATTATTGTTGCCATGAGTTAATTCAAATTTATTGAGAAGATCCTGCTTCAAAGGAGATTGGAATAGTAGTGGCTTTTCTAAACTCTATTTGCTTATTCTTAATTCATTTTAATAAAATTATATTTACTCTTAGAGCTGCTATTTGAATGTGACTGAATCTAGATTAATGATATATTATAAAATTACCATAGCTTCCAAATTAGGGGATATCATATTAACCATCATCTCTTTATTCAGTATCTTATGGCGCTTGATAAAATTAATCTTGATTATATTGTTAATCTTCTTCATATTCTTATTCATCCTAGTGTAATTTATTTGAAAAATCTTAAATATCATAATATTCATCAGATTTCTAATCAGATAATTTCAGTTGTTTTTTAACACTTGAATATTGATATTGCTATTTATATGATGGATAATCTTTATCCTAATATGGCTGAACTGATTTTGGTTGTTTTGATGATTTGGATTATTTTTATAATTGGATTTCCTTTTATAATTTTAATCCTTTCATAGGATCAAAGACATAGGAATCATTAGAATCTGGATGGACTTCTTCGTCATCATCTTCTTCGGCAATAGTACCACAACGCAGTTGCTTATCAAAATATTGCAATAACTAATCGTCTATTTGTAATGCAATTTATAAATTTTGTTCAAATTTGATTTGGTTATAATTCTCCAACTATACAATAGCTTAGGTATTCAAATATTGCTCTAAGGATGATGAGATGATAGATTACCATCGAAAGGGTTGTATCCATAGCAATCAATGTAATTGGTTAGGGCAATGTAAGTATTGGATTTATTGGGTTAGTAATCCCTCAATTGTTATTCACATTCATATGCTAGCAAAGCAAAACGTTAATGCTATTATCGATCCTCTGAAAATAATTAATAATAAGGATACAATTTTCCTCTAACTGCTTTTATTATAAATAAAGTTGTAATTATTGCATAAAAATTAATGTTATTTATCATCTGATCATTTTATTTCTATGATAATGATAAAAAATAAATAGTTAATAACATATTTTAATAAATCGAGTATTCGAAAAAGAGCGAAATCCTCATTGAATTATGTTGTTTCTGTGAAGTAACAGAATGTAGAATAGTCTCACAATAATTCAATTGATAGTCTGAACACTCGCGTTATGGAGGTTTTTGAATAACAATAGAAGGACGATCAGGTTCAGATACAAAGATTATTGATAAAGAAGCAATTGTTGGAGATTCGAATACGTCATGAAAATGAGAAATATGAAGAAACCCTAAAAAATTATTAACAATTGTTGCAAAGATTGGAATCAATGGAACATAGCCAAAAGGAGTACATCTCACAAATGAACCAATTGAGTGAGTGTTTAAAAGAGATTGTTTAACAAAACCATGAGATGGAGAGTGCCTATAATGACAAGTGCAAAGAATATGAGAGTTTGATATAAATAATTAATAAATGAATTAAGTACTGGATTCAGAAGCTGAGGAAGCTGTGTTAAAAGCTGGAGACATCATCTAGGGTAGATTTCGTATTGGAGAACTTCTTGGAGAAGGATCATTTGGATCTGTCTTTAGAATCTATGATATTCAGAACAGCAATGAAGTCTTTGCTATCAAGGTGGAGTAAGAATTGGAGGAAGAGGAAAGCATGTTAGAAAGAGAAATCAAGATTATGATGGAATTAAAGTATTTCACTTAAGCACTCTATTCTTTTTAGGAAGAAGCCCGGGTTCCCATAGATATTATACTATGGATAAGAGAATCATTATGTTTATTACATTATGAATGTGCTTGGACCCAACCTTGAAATTACCAGCAAGAAATGTGGAGGCTCTTTCACTCTCGTAACCATGTTGCGATTAGCTATTCAGGTATATGAGTAATGTACTGTTTAGTGTAGATGCTTAGCCGAATTGAAACGTTGCATTCTATGCGTCTCATTCACAGAGACATTAAACCAGACAACTTTGTGTTGGGATTGGGATAGCAATAAAACATATTACATCTGATTGATTTTGGATTATCTAAATTTTATGTAAATTCTAAAGGTGAACACATCAAATAAGTACGCAAAAAAGGATTGATTGGAACAGCAAGATATGCCAGCATTAATGCTCATAACGAACTTGAATAGAGTCGCAGAGATGATCTAGAAAGCATAGCTTACATCTTGGTATATTTGGCCACTGGGTCTCTACCTTGGATGAATCTCCAAATTGAATAGAAAGATCTCAAATATGCTAAAATATTACATCTAAAAAAGTCAACAACTCCAGAGATTGTATGTAAAAATCTACCAGCTTGCTTTATGAAATTTTTAACAGCTGTTCGTAAATTAGACTTTATCACAACGCCTGATTACGGGACGTATAAAAAATTATTCCAAAGCGAATTAGAAAAGCATTAGGTTTAACCATACTATGATTGGGAAGTGGTAGGAGATAATCATACAAAAAAGAAAAGTAACACAATGCATATTATGCCAGTATTATTTATATTAATTGAAGGAATAATTGAAATAAAATAATAGTCCTAACAATCTACATATTATTAATAGCAATGGAAATAACAATGGATCAAATAAAAATACTATGACTTATGGACAGGATCAAATCATTGAAGGTGATATGGATAAAAGATTGAATTTACAAGCTTCAACAAAAGGTGTCGATAATAAACAATTTGAAAGGTTTGAATAGATTTTGCAATAGAATCAGAAGAAGTACTATAAGATGAACAGTTCAAAGAGGTAAAACTCTGGAAGGGCTAAAACCCCTGTGATGGTCAATGTTATTGAACCTGATGTAATTAAAATCTATTTATTTAGAAACAAATTCAACAATAATAGTATGAATAAGTATATGATGAAGTGTAATACATTGCAAAATCAGCCAAATTCTTGTAACCACCCTCTACTCCCAATGTTAGGAATTCCTCTTCCATTATGAATCCTTATTATATCCCATCTTTAAACACTTCATAAGTGAATAATTATGATTGGAGTGAAGGGGAAGAAATAAGCAACGAAGGCACTCCCTTATGGTGTATGTATGTGGAGAAGGAGAGACAAAATGTGATGACGGGAATATAAACAAAAAAAAAGAACTCCATTAAACACAATAGTTTCAGTGCCCTCCAATATCCAATTCAAAATCAAGTAAGAGGAAGTGATGAAGAATTGTTTGATATTGAATGATCATTAGTGTTGTTAATTTATATTCATCTATGGATTTAATTGTAATGGTATTTGGATAGCCATCTCTTCTCCAATTGACAGAAGATCTGATATCTAGAAAACATGATCATCTTCAGGAAATTTCAATATTTTAGAAGCTTTGAATATTGCTTTGACTTGATCTCCCAAAAATAACTTTAATTTTCTATTGATTTTATAATAATATCTATTAGATTTCCTATTCTTAGCAGCAATAGCCTTGTAGGAATTGAATACGCTTTCTATACTTAAATTTTCTTTGTTTAAGAAGCTTGATTTCATCTGCTATTTAATTTGTTCAGCCACTTCTATCAAAGACATCTATTTTAAAGATAGTTATTTAGAATAATGAAGAAAATTTGTTTCCTTATCTTTTTCATTGATTCCAATCACTGGTTTAGGAGTATAATTGAATAAAATCAACTAATCTCGATCCAATAGGATCTACTTTAGTTTTTCAACCTAATGAATTCTATTTAATATTGAAAATACATCCAACTCTTATCTAACACTATTTAATGATTTTTGTAGTAAAAATAGATGATGATCTGTTTTATAACTGGCTTTCTTACAACACATACCATATAAAAAGTATTTTAAATTTAAATTGATAGATTTTTTTGTCATTATCGTCTATTGAAAACTTGATAATAGAAAATGTTTTCTGCTCTTGAATTTATATTTCTCCATAATCTTTTTCTGTTCTTCAACAACTTTCATCACTCTTTCCTTATATTATGGATCCTCTTCCATGGAATCCTGTTTTTCTTCATTCTATTTTACTTCATCAGCTTTCCTTCTTTTTGTCTTAGTTCCTCCCTCCTATTAAGTTTAGGCACTAACATGAAATGGATCTACTAAACCAGATCCTTTTGTTCCTTAATCAGATTCTGTATTAAAATCATAATCATAAAGCCTATTAGAAATTTCCAAATAAACTAAATACTACTTTATTATTACATTATGTTCTATTATAATATGTTATTATAACTCCAACAATAGAGATTACTGATTATGATAATCCACCTATTTTTGATAATAAATCAGTTATAGTCTAATACTCTCGATTGTAATTAGTAGAGAAATTACTACGCATGAACACTATGCGTGTCCAAACACCATCATTCTTTCCTTCATATAGTTATCTGAAAGAGTTTGTAGAAAACACACTCAAATTCTCATCATCTAGCAATCCTCTAATATGATTTGGCAACACTACTCTATCTTTAGCTATCCTTGGAAATCCTTTGTGATATGCTTATCAAAATGGTAATCAATTCTCTGTAGATCTCCTGGATTTAATTGCAAACTCATCGAATTATCCAAATAATCTTCGGCCACAAATTCATTATTGAATGGATTTATAAACTATCCTCATTAATAATTTATCATACTGTATTCTTTGTGATAAATTGCAATTGAAAAACCTCGTTTTCTTTCATCTCCTGACATGTTTTCCCCCAACTACTCAATCCTTCGCATTTACCCACATCGATCGCTAAACTCTTAAAAGCAGAAGCTATATATTATAGAATAAACTATCTACAATACTAAGTCCCTTCTAATTGAATAGAGAACTAAGAAGTAGGGCACAGCCACATCTCCATTTAATTGGATTCAAGAAATTTCAATATTTTATCAGAGTTAACAAGACTTGTGAATTGTTCCAAATTACATTATTATAATTGGATGCTCGAGTCGCCTCTTTGATATCTCTAATTCACTGTTATATCAAAGGATGGAGAATTGTAATAATCCTCTTGGTTCACTTTAATTGCAAAAATGAAATTGCTATGGTTGAGTTCTAATAAATCTGGATCATAGCTAAATTTAGTCTATCATTATATAGTGAATTATACTTCTTATGTAATTTATATACCTCTTTAGATGGTATATCCAACGATCTCATTAACGCTATAAATGACAAGTAAGAGTATAATGAATATTGATATCATTCCTCCAAATGAACTTTTATATTTTGTGTTTAAATCAAGGTTTAGGTTGATTGGCTACCCAAAAATGTCCATCTTTCTAAGTACTACGTTGTAATATATTGGTATTACTTTAAGTTAATTGTGACATTTCGACACTTTACAAAAATGCAAAATATTTAATTAATATATGTCTAACAAATATGTATATCAAAAATCATTTAATGGTCCATCAAATACTATCTTTTCTAGTGTTTGACGTGATTGTTGTTCATGCTAAATTAAATGTAAATGCAAATAATTTACTTTGATTTCTTCATCTACCATTCTATACTGTTAATCAGCTTGTTTTATATCTACATTAGTAATCAATTAATCTTAATTAGGAATATATCGATTAGGAATATCTTAATCTATTAATTTATCCTATTTTATATATGAAGTTATTATGTACCCAATCAAAGTTTTCAAACCATTGATGTCCTTTCAGGTTTGCAAAGGAATTTCCTAATCTCACTTCTGGAATTCTTGAAAGCAACCTAATTCAAAATCATATGATTACTATTCTATTAGCTTTTTGGCCTTCTTCTCTTTGAAATACTGGGGGTATATGATATCATTCTTAATTATCTACTCGTAAATTTCATATGGATCTTCAGCATCTTCTCCAAATGGTACATATCCACAGAGGAATTCAAATAAGCAAATCCCAATAGACCATAAATCCACTAGATTATTGTACCCTTTGCCACAAATCACTTCAGGTGCCATGTCTGAATATTATTATGATTTTACAATACGGAGTTCCAATTATTGTAAAAGTTCTATTAAGTTCAGATTTTGAAGAGAATGGCTTTGCAATTCCAACATCAATTAATTTTAAGTATCCTTTGGAATCTACCATGAAATTTTCAGGTTTAATGTCACGGTGTATTATTTTTGATTTGTAAAAGGATTCGACAATTAATATCATGGATGCAATATACAATTAAGAATCATAACTAGAGAGCAACCCTATTAATTAATAGATTTTGTACCAATGTCACGAATTACATCATATAATTCTTTGCCATTGACAAATTCGAGGAGTAGGAACAGATCATAATCATCCTGGAAAGTTCTATAAAATTTAATAATGAAAGGGGATTGCAAGGATTCAAGTATTTACTTTTCTGTTTCAAAAAACCTAGTTAGCATAGTATGTATACCTTTCCAATTGATATGATTTAATATCTGACTTGTTATAGGTTTTTAAAGTGAAGAGTTGCTGATTGGATTTGGCTTTAACTAGATAGACAGGTCCAAATTGACCAACAGCTAATTGCTTAATAAAAATCAAATCTGATTTCTTAATGGATTAATAATTATTCTATTTAATCTGAGATTTCAGTTTCTTGTCTTGAGACTTTTCATTCTTTTTAATGACTTCTTCTAGGAATCCTCCTATAGAATCAATGAAATTTTCATGACTCATCTCTGCCAATACTCCATCTGTTTCCATCACAATATCATCATCCAATCTGAAAATATAAGACACAGTTATACAATTTGTTTTTATTAATAATGAGAAAGTATTCTTCTCCCCATACCTATCCTTTCGTTGCAATCACTATACCTGACTTGTTCTTCTTCACACACCCTTCGACTACTACAATTATCTTCTATTAGACTGATGTTCCTTTCTTCATAATTATGTCACCAGCTCTATAGAGTGTTAATTTGAGTTAATTAATAGTCTTCTCAATTTGAGTCTTTGTCAATTTTTGCAAAAGGGCATTCTTTTCAAATGCCCATTTCAATAGATTTCGAAATGTTACAATATGGATTTAATCTCCTAATAATTTAGTTAATGCATCTCTTCCAACAACCAAACAAGTTACGTCATCTTCAGCCATTACAGACATCTATCTCATAGTATTATAGAATAGTGATTGTTCACCAAAGGTATCACCCTTGTGTAATTTCTTCATTTCTTTTCCATTCTTGGTTACCATTGCAGTCCCCTTATATCATTTGTATATAAATTACATCTTTAATTATATAGAAGGAGGATCCGGGATCTCCCTCAGTAACTACCATTTGTTATCTATAAAACTTAAGTGTTTTTAAGATCGAGGCAATGGCATCCTTCTATTCATTTGTAAGATCATCTATATAGATTAATTTATCTTTATTTACAAAAAAATCTAACATTTTCTAAGAACTTCCTGTTTTCCTCATATTCCTATAATATTTTGTCTTCCACGGCTCTTCTAAAACTCACTCTATCTATTCCAAAGAGAAAACAATTCTCAAAGCATTTTACTGATGCAGATCTAGGAGAAGTGTATAACAAAGCCAACTCTCCAAAGCCTTCACCTGCTCTTAGTTCTCGTTTTGGCTATAATAATATATTTCAAATATCAATACGATATCATCAACGGTCACTCCCATGCTCCCACGGTGGATTATAAAAAAGCATTGAGCCTGATCTCCTTGTCTAAAGAGGTATGTTCCAGACTGTGCTTCACAATAGAACATCTTATTGGCTACTTAAGTTCTACTCATTTGTATTAAGATAATTACAATTCTTCTTCACTCAAATTGTAAAATATGAAATGAAGTTTGAGAGATTGGATGATGAATGAAGTCTCATTAAGTCCTTGCTTGAACTCTACAATCTTCATGTTCTCTGGTAAATTCAAATTATTGAATTTCTGGTCTTCAGAATCCTTGATATTCAGAGAAAATACATTTGCTTGTATAATTTCTTCATCATTTTTCTGTTCATCAATATCCATTAAATTTAAAAAATAAGTCAATCAAAATACCTCAATTTATAATTGTTTATTTTATATATATATGTTTAAGAGTATATAGATACAATGAATGATTCAAGGAATTTCTGAATTGATTTTAAGATCCCAACTTACTATATATTTATATTCTCAATTACGAACATGATTATTCATCAAATAATAATATAATAAACATATTAAATAGGTTTGTTTATAATTCATTACTCTAAGAATTATTTCAATGCATTTTCAGTGAACAATTATTCCTCTTCAAATCTAATGGCCTCCTTATTGTCATGGACCAACAATAAAGTTGGAATTGATTTAATCTAAATCCACTCAGACACTCTAGCAGGGTTATTTGGCTCTTTCCATCTAATGAAATGACTATTAACTTACGTTTCCTTATCTCCTGCCCAACACCAATATACTGAGTATCCTTTCTATAACAATTGCGGAATTGCATAATTCTTGATGGTGGGTTCAGCCTCAACAGTATCAGAGCACCATGATTAACCAGTTTCAGCTAGAATGTCTCCAACAAAGATCAAGGCTGCCTTTCCTTCCTTATTGACTTTTTCAGAATAATTGGATGTTGTGACTTAAATTACTTATTCCATTAAATATATGATTAGATAATAATCAATAATCTCAGCTGAATATTTGGTGTTTGATACAATCGATCTCATCAAGAAAGGTCAATATAAACAATGCGTTGCAAAAATAAATAGATTGGTATTTGATCCTCATTTGGTCAAAGGATAGCCACAATTTCTACAATTGCAAATCTAATTGTGTCGTCGACTCCTATATTGTTGTAACAAAATCCTTAAAAAGTAACACCTACTCATCATACTAATAGATACTTTCTAAAATATTCAGAAAAATCACACAAAATTCAACCGTTACTTAATCGATCGATTGAATTGAGTTTCCATTACATTGAATTTTTGGAAACCTATTAAAAAGAGAATAGTAAATTTGATGGCTCTCCTCTTGCATCTCCATCTCCAACAATAAAAAAAAAATAACTTTTTAAAGAACTCTATGCAGAATAATTAAGTCTGGCTCATAAAATGGAAATGTTTTTCTCGCAGGACATCGTCAATAACTATGTTCAGAAATCCAACATTTGGTTCCAAGATCATTGTCAGAATTGTTATATTCAACTGCTAGAAACACTACTTAATGCATATAGATATCACAAATCCAATCGAACACATTACCCATCTCTCTTTCTACATCTCCTAACCAAATTAATTACTTACTCTAACACACAGAATACAAATAACCACAAAAATCATAAGTTCTCTCTCTTAAAAGGAGAAGTCTATATTCTACTTGGGAATGCTTACTTTGAATTGAGTATTAATTATTTACTTATGTTTAAGATGACTATTCGAAGGCTGAATACAATTATGTCTCATCATTAGATGAAGCCATTGTATCTGTTAGAAGTCTTTTAGATGACATTGAAAAATTGAAAATTAATGTGGATTCACAAATAGTCAAGATCCAACTGTCCAAATTGATCAGTCAAATAATCATCAGTTTAGATCTACAATCGCTTATCAATCAGCAAATTGAACATTACAATCGTTACATTGAAATCCACTAGGTCTCACAACTATTCAATAAAATCCTGGTATATTTCAATGCTTGCAAAGAACTCCAACAACATCTAGATATCAAAGCTACTCAAATCAAAGACAATTACAAAGATCATGTACAAGAAAATACTGAAATCTGTAAATTACTTTCCTTAATATTCTAAATTCCATTCAAACAACATCCTCCAAATCTTAATTCCACTTTTAATTTAGAATAGCTATCTCAAACAGATCAATATTAGCATAAATTATTTGATAAATATGATTATGCTTCAAATAATACGATCTCCTTCATTAAGAACAAGGATTTACCTCCTAAACCTAAAAATCAAACATCATAATCAATTTTAGAAAATGCAGGCATGACATAGTAATACTTCATTAGAAATCAATCAATAAAGAATTTTAAGTTAAAACATAACAATTCTTAGTAATCTATTGAATAATCCTCTACTAATTATAATGACAGTCAAATACAAAACAAAAATGATTAAAGCAGTCTAAGTTAAATAGATACTTCCAATATCTCTAAAATTAGATTTGGATAGACTCCAAAGACGGCACATAGATAGAGTTTCTTAAGTGAATTAATTCATCTCAGGAATTAGGGTGTAAAAACTGATAAATCTGTTATCTAGGAGACAGATGTTGAAAGAAATCACAGACAATAAAAAGAATTGCTAAAGAAGATTAATAATAAAAGTAAATTAAATTTATACTAATTAGATTTCTATCAACCTTTGGATTAAGTTGTTCATACATACATCAATGAAAATCTTACGAGTCATTAAAAATGCCAATCACTTGAAGAAGTTAAGCAAAATGCCAGGATCATTTGCCAAGCTGAGGCAGAGGTACATAAGGAAGTACCTATAACTAAGAGTTTGTTATATGCTCGAAGGATGACATGTCCTTAAGGAGTTTTGGTGAAGGATTAAAATGCAGAAAATGAATTCAATAAGTTATTGGAGTTCAATGTTATTGAGTACTTTGATTTCGTTCAAACCAATAAAGATTAGGCTGTTACCAATTTAAAGGCATAATAAGAAAATTAACAAGTCAGAATAGCTTAATAAAATTTATTCTCGGATAACTTCATTCCCAAAAAGAAGTTGAATTTTATTGAGAACGAAGAGATCAAGCAATTAGAATAAGCTTAAGTGATTGCATAGCAAGCTGAGAATCTGCTAAAGAGGACTTAGGATAAAAGAAAATCTACTTCAAAGTAATCTAGGCTTTCCATCTTGTCTTTGATGTCAGATAAAGCCTTAAAGAAATAAGAATCCGTTATTGTTCCCATTACTTAGGAACAAGTGGTGGAAAAAGCTCGAAATTCAATTAAGCAGGTCATCTCTATAAATGAAAAATAAAAAGAAATATTCGAACAGGAGGATCAATAATTAAAGGAGGTATTACTAAGTGATCTATAATTTTAGGCAGAATTACCCTATAAGTTTAAGAGATCTCTTTCTGGGAAGCATAAATCAAAGCAAGAGGGCAAAAGCATCTTGATTAAACAAGAATTCGGCCATCTCTGTTCATCGACAAAGAACATTAGGGAGAAGGACTTTAGCATACTCAACAATAATAATAATAATGAATAAAAACTAAAAGGAATAATAAGTTTAGAGAAGATCAAATGAATAATAATATAGTTTTTATTAATATTGTTTCAAAATGGTTGACTTAACTATTTAAGTTATCTAGAAAATTGTGAAATGTCTTATTAAGTGAAGATCTTCACTAATTTATTGGAGGAACAGTTTTTGCATCCATCACATTTGCAATTATCAGAGCATTCAATGCCCATTTAATAGCACTCACAATATTTCTTTTTGCAACCACTTTTTCTGCAATTACATCCCTATGATTATATCTCTAAATTACTTTGGAATGAGCCATTTTCTAATCAACTTCCTTTACTTTCTGATTGAATGCTTCTGGATTCCTTTCCACCATCTTCTCCCTATATAGATTTCTCTCTATTAGATTTGAACTGTTATTAAAACATCCGCAACAATTACATTTAGATGAACATAATTTATTAGCTGCAAAACAATCACAATATAATTTAAGGCATTTGCTCTTCTTACAATTACAGGGCTTAACTTCTTCAATCCTATAATAAAATTTAATTAACAAAATAAATTTTATTAAGTTTATATTTTGAATATGATATTTGAATTTAAAATATAATTCTTTATATCGTATTGTTATTATAAGACATATAGGGTACTTACTCTTATTTTTAATTGTTAGTATTGGTTTGAAATAAATTTTAAGCCAAGTTATTAAAATTTCCGATTGAATTCTGTGATTAGAACTTTAAAAATGATTTTTGTTCTGAATTACATAAGGAAATATTTTTTGTTTATGGAGTTCTATAATAATTAGTTGGAAAACATACTAAAAGTTGCTTTTGTTTAGAGTTTATGGAAATGTTATCTCATTACTCTAGAATATTTTCTTAAAAGGTGGAGTAGATAAATTTAAGTTCTTATTTGTTTCTTAGGACTCAAAGAAGATAGTATCACAGTTTTTATAAGACATTGACAAACGTATTTAAATTTTTTAAATTAAAATCAAATATTGGCAGCATTAATTGTATAAATACATCAGTTAATATTGAGATTCATTCCATTTATTTTTATAATTTGAGAATCCTTTCATAAAGCTAATTGTATTTCATATCACCCAATTTCGCATATTCTCTCGACAGATTAGATATGGATTCAAATTGGCCAAACTTACATTCGAACATATCTAATTTCTAAATAATATCATGCTTTTGAGGCACTAATTAAGCCAATAATTTCTCATGATTCATCTAATCAGAATAATTCTTACTTCCTTTGATTTAATCTTCGACATGGCAGTCTTGAAATCGAATCCCTTATCATACACTTGTTTCCTATTTCCTTCTTACTTAATCTTATCTGACAAGGTATCCTACACCTTAATACAAAAACAATACAGTTGTTTCACATAATCATATTCAATAACTAAATTACAAAATGATTTAGCCTCATTCAACAATAATTCGTAGGGTTAATTAAATTATTTTTCAAATAAACATTATATTTCATCGATATCATACAAATTCATACTCAAAAACTATTTTTCAATAAGATACTATAAATCACTACATTCTTTAGATTATCTTAACATAAATCGAATTGTTTAATTAGTAAAATTATCTATCAACACAGAGTGATTATTCAAAATATAAAATACCTGATATTAAAATGTTAATTGTCTCAACTTTTGACATTCCGAATCTTCAAAGATTAAATTCTCTAATTTTTATGGAATGTAAGATTTCAATGTTTTGATTAAATATTAAGTTCCTTTGAACAATTAAGCCAATCCCTATTGTGATAATTTAGTTTTACTTCGATGTTTAATGGTAAATTTGTTAGGTTGTAAGTGAAATTCATAAATCCAACAAATTTCTATTCATCTTCTAAAAAGTGTTCTAATTTGCTATTCCCTTTCCAAATTTGACAAGTGTATTCGAATGTCAAAATTAACTTGTAAATGTATACCTTCAACTCAAATTATCTTATGTCTTTCGAATCTCCGTAACGTTATCTACGATTAGAGGACTGTGTAGCCAATTAATGCTTTTCACTAGAAACTTCAGTATTTTAAGATCTTTAATGGGAATGGACTTTGACTTATGATTTGCCTAACCTAATTTTGACCAACTTATTAATCCTTTCAAGGTTCAAATCCTTCTATATTAAAGACTATAGAAATTATTATTAGTTATCGAAACTGTTTAGGTGAGATTAAATTTAATTGCTAAATAATTATCTCTTTTCAGTAGACTTTTGACTTTCCCTATTGTGTACTTGAATTATTTTTATTTTGGTTGAATTAGTTAACTAACATTGAGAGTTATTTGAATTTTGAACTTCTTTCTACAAAATTAATTTTCTTCTTTTCATAATACGCATTTACCCAATAGGATTTTAATGGTATTCAGTAATATTCTCAAGACCTTTTATATGGGATTTGGAAGTTGCAGAATTGGAGTACTTTGTTATAGAATTGACCATCTTTCTGTTTTCACTTTTTGATCTTGCTATTCTTGTAGTTTATGTCGTAAGTTAATATTCCTTGGTCTTTTCAATTAAATCTTCTCCATAATAAAACTTATAAGTATTATTCATATTGGTAATTATATAAAAACTTAGAAATTATATTGAGTGGATAAATTTAAATTCTAGTGATGATGTCATCTAATCTCATATTTTAGATTAGGATTAATAATCTATAATTTTAAATTTATCGCTTATCATCAGATGAAGTAATTAGCAATATCTAGATAAGCATATAGTTCTTATCTTATTAGTATTTCGTATTTATCCTATCATTTTATAAATTGTAAATAGAATTAATAGTAAATAAAATAAATAAATAAATAAATAATAATAATAATTCATATTATTAATTTAATCTACTTGATGATATTTTTATTGATCATCACCTTCATTGGAATGAATCTCAATGAGTATCTAATTGAAAAGTAATTGCTAATAATTTGGTGAATTAACAACCCATTAATACTAAACAATAACAAAGATATGAAGATTCCTAAACTAAATAACAAGACAACAATCATTTCAGTCTCTTATGTCAGTTCATTCTTAGCTATTTGGATGAAATAATCAGAGAACAATCTCAATTAGAAATTGGTGGCATCTAAACCCCAATATATATACATGAAGTATTCTCTTGAAAACAAAACATCCAAAAAATCATTGAGAAACTCCGATTTTGTTTCATTTTTATCATTCAATCCTAGACTCTGAGTAGCCAAGAAGGTTTGTTGGTACAATTGGATTAGTCCAACCTCAAAGAATTTACTCAAATCATTGACTAGAAATCTCTATTTGAGCAATTCAGTTTATGCATCACAACCTACAAGTAAGCAAATATCATTTAGCAATAATGAAGCCTTTTCATCATCTGGCAGATCTTAAGTAACACTTGTGAATGGTTCCTAAACTAAATTTAGATAGGATTGAAGTATATCATTCTTATTCAATTCAAGTAATTACAGAATCTTGTTATTGCCTCTAATATTTCCATTGATATTTGGAGTATTCTCATTAACTTCAATATAAAAGTTATAGAATGTCTTGAAATTGTAACAGTCCCAATTGTTGATAAACTTTATGAACTGTAATCTTATTTGTATACCTGATAATGCAGTATTCACAATTGGATTTATTTGATTTGAGTAGTTATTGTATTGGATTTAAAAGATTACAAAATAGATGATCAACAAAACAAAAATAATTGTTTACATTATATAATACATTGGTAGATTGAATTAATCGTCTAGTTTTATATTCTATGACCCTTGAGTTTGGGTTTTTGAGACATCTTAACTCATTTCATAGAAGCTCTAGAAAAATTTGCTATTGAACCAAAATTCTTCAATTTTCACATTTTAAGATACAAATTCAAGTCTTTGCAATTCATCATCAATATCTCGATTATCTAATCGTTAAAAGATCTGGAGAATCTATTTAATCTTGTAGATGATTCTTGCAAGAGTTAACATTAACATGGTATAAAACACTAAAATCCCTATATAAAAGCTATAGAAGACTATCTAAACCTGATTGTCAAAAGCATTGTTATATTCCTAACTGTTTTAGAGACATGTCTCTATAAATTGTTAGGTTATATCACATACATCATTGAAATTCAAAAATAAGATAGATCTTGTGTTTATTTATGGAAATGTATCTAAAGTACCTTTTAAATAGAGAGATGGATCACCAGCAAATGTTTTAATAGCCAAATAAAATAATTAGTTCATTATTTCATAGTACGCTGCCTATGTTTAGATAACTTGAGTTTGAATTGAATGGACTTAATAGTCTACAAATTTAAAGTCAATTAGTTTCTCTTCCTAGTAACTGTTTAAGACAGTTTTATAATTTTCATATAAATTGATTAGATTCTAACAATTTTCTTTGTAAATCCATAAGGTGAACTCAATTTTATCACTTGTTGTAATGGACACTTAGACATCTTGATCAATATTAATGGTTTGGTTTTAGGGAATGAAGTTATTAAAATCTCTGTAGAAAACTGTGTGTCGACTGCCCTTCAATATGATACCATAATAATCTAGGAATTCAGTCCCATAATAGAGTCTATTGAAACAGATATCTTGTTCATTTCTCTTTTGCAGTAGTAACATATAGATCACAACTAATCCAATGATAGAAATACACATGTTCACCAAAGAAAGAAGCATGAATTGTTTAATTGCCGTTGGTAGTGTTTATTAAGAAATAAAAACCAATAGCTCATCAGATGATTTAACAACAGTAGCAGTACTTTGTCTAGAATGCAATGATTTTATAACGTTCTCATTCTATTTTGATTTACTTCTACTTTTCCTAATTATATTGAATTAATATTACTTTTTGATAATCTCCTTTTTATTGTCCTCGAAATGATCCTGGATCTATTGTTTTTATTCGCTGTCAAATTAGGTCAAATCTATGAGGAGTCTATAATAAATGTAGTACTCCGAATCATCGTCAATGTCATATTAAATAGTTTATAAAGAAATTTCATAGTCCACTTAAGAAATTTTATCCACTGATATTGAGTTGACTGAAGCAACACTATATTATTCTAGTTTTTCGATTTATTTAGAGAAATCAATGTCTTTACTGATATTGCATGACTTTTAATTGGATGATCGCATAAAACGACTCATAACCTAAATGATTTGATTTTAAAAGTAGAGAGGTTTAGCATTATTTGGTGAACTGTGAAAATAAATTAAGTTCTCTCTTAGTTATGGAATCATCTAAAATACATTAATTTAGTTTAGTTACAATTAAGACTAATTGATTATTAATTTAAATTTGTTATCTGAACACATAAGATTAAAGTTGTAATCCAATAGAATGATAGCATTATTCTTTGATTTAATTTTGTACAAATAAGTTATCAACTGATATTTATTTAGATTCTATTTAGGGAAGTAGGGAAAAAGGATCATCTTAACAGGAATTATAGTATTTGCATCTGGACTGATCATGCTTTCGATTTGGGTTCCAATGATTTTCGATTTTCCTTTTTGCAAGTATTAATCTATCAATTTGACATGAGATGGTCGAAAAGAAGGGTGAAGTATTTGAGAGACTGAATTAAGGACGAAGTGTTCATCTAATTCCAGAAATTGCAATTGCTTTGATGTTATTTTCGAAGTGATTTCTCCTGATTCTTTCTCATTCAATGAAAGCAACCAAACTGATTGCAAAGTTAGAAGTAAAGGCTATGTTTGTGAATTCATCTTCTCTATATATTTCATTCTAAATTATTTCGTCTATTCTGATCTAATTATCAATTTATTCTCTCAGGTTCTAAGTCAAAAAGGATATCAAATGACATATACGAAGTGCAAAGATGTTGTTTAACTTTTTGTTATCATAAATTTTCAGATCTCTACTCTTCTTTATTAATTCTTGGATTGTCTCCTTCAATCTATATAGGGAATCGTAAAGTTTCTAAAAGTTCTGAATGCTCAGCAACTTCAACGATTCGTAAAATTTGTATTTCTCCATAATTACCTTCAATAATTCTTATTGAACTATCAAGCCTTCAAATTTCAATAATCTCATCTCTTCAATAAATTTTACTTGTTACTTCTATTGCATTTCTCTCTTCAACTTCTCTTACAGCACTTATTCCAAATAATGAAAGATTTCTAATATATACCCATTCTAAACATTCTTCTTTTGATTCAATATTAACTAATGTGCTTGGATTGTGTTATTGGAAATATCAATCAATATCAATATATACTGGAGTGCATTCTCCTCAGTGAATTTCTAGGACAATAGATTCTTGTAATATAAATTGATGATTTGACTAATTTCTCTCTCGGACAACTTGCGAACATCCTGTTTACATGGACACCTCGAGAGCAGACAATGCATTAGATGTTGTCTATGTAAGTACAAGAATTCTATGGCTTGATTATAATTTGATCGGTAATTGAGGTAACCATTGTAGTATTATTAGTAGAATGATACTGATTAATGATTTGTAAACAATAGTTAATTAGCTTATTAATTAATCATCGTCTAAAAGGATTAGGTAAGCTAAATTATCAAAGTAATATTACTGTAAGAATTAGCATAAAATCATATATCATTTAATCTTGTCCTGTCATTTAAGAATATGAGTTGGCTATAATAAAACTTATAATAATTGAATATACTCTTATTTCTTAGAAGTATAGATCAGAATGATTCAACACTATCTCGCCATATAACCATATGATCATGTAAATAAAATAAATGAGACTAAAATATTGCAAATAATAATTGATTTCGAATAATTTCGAGTACAATATGATCTACTAAATGATCAATATATTAAACAGTGCCAATTTAGAAAATTGCTTATTTATGTTCAAAGATTTGAAGTGGATGTTCTAAAAGTAAAAACTTTACGTTAATCCAAATAAGAAAATCGAAATTGTGTTCAGCACACATATTGCTATCTTTTCAGTTTCATTCATGTTCAATGAAAAATTTGCAGAAATTATTTAAAAAGGAATCAAAAACAATCGATCATAATTACTTAGTAATAAGCGAAAGAATACCGCAGTATTTACTTTCAAATTAAAATAAAAGGTAAACGATAAAATTATGCTAAATAAGGCTATGTTACACGCTGTAACGAAATAAGGGCTTAACTCACTTAAAATTGAATTGTAAATAAAAGTTAATATTGGTATTTTGGAATCGCAAATTTAAGATTCAATCATGAAAAGCTCAATCAAGTAAATTGGAATGATAAAGTATTGGATTACAAATAATTCAGTTGATTAACTTTGAGAATCATAACATTAGACCGATGCCATAAACCCTCTGTATTTTTTTATGAATTTCTCACTCATATCACTAATTATCATAATTTTAATAAATTATTCATCTAATTTTTATATTCAAACAATTATTTATTTATACATTTATCCATACAAATTGTACTATTATTTAAATAGTTATCCCTTTTAAAGTGGCAATCTAAGAGACTCCACATTTTTATTATTAAAAATGAAATAATAATAACTATAATTGTATTTGCTTAAACAATAAAAAAGTAAATTCATTTTCCATCTCTATGTTCTTAATTTATGAAGAATATTTATTATTTGTAATAGATTCTCCACAAATTATTTTTTTTAATTTTAGCATCATTTTCAAATTAATAACTAAAAGTCTCTCATTCTTCTACAATTCTATCTTATACTAATAATTAATCATCCATCAATTAATTTAAAAATAGAAACAATTCAATATAAAAACATTAATTTCAAAATTATATAACTTTAATAATTCCAACAATTAGATCTAAAATTCAACAAACAATCCTAACCTTCTAATCCTATCATCATAACTCAATGTTTTTTTTGATTAATAAATAAATTCAAATTCTTAAGTTTTTCTTTGAGAATAGAGAATTTAAAGTAAAGTTAAAAATTAAATATAAATTACAATTATATTATAGATATAAAAAGTATAAATCAGAAAAACTATGGTTTATTTCATTCTTACTTCTTAAATTCAGTAAGTTCTATTTTCGTTTTATCTCTTTTATACCATTGTAAGAGTGTATAATTTGAATTTGAGTGAAAATATTAATTAATAGGAGCTAATATTGATAGTTTCATCTAAAACTAATCTAGATCTAACAGGGACTAACACTTTCTTTTAATTAATCTAACCTTATCAATAAGTTTTTAATATTTATTGTTTAATTATGAAAGCAAACAAAATTCAAAGAATATCAAACAGAATCAAAAAGAAAACTATTTAAGCCTTGCTTTACATTTCAGAAGATGGATTTGATATCACGAAAAGCTCCTTTTTTAATTGTCTCAAAATGATAATGTATTTTCTATAGTTGGAGGGATATGTTTTTAGTTAATATGAATCAAAACCCTTAACATTGAAAGAAAACATTTACTTTTCCAATTATACACAATTATCTGCGTTTACATTTATTCTTTTTGAAATTGGGAATGATCTCTTAACATAAACATTTTTTTACCTAATATTTTTCTTGCATTTAGTAATATACTTACTGCTTCTAATATTATCATTAGATAAATCCATCGAGAAAACAGGAATAACAAAAAAAATGTTGAACTTATTTTTTACTAATTATTAATGGATATTTGTGACACCTTTTTAAGAAATTAGTGTCGGAGTAATGGTTTGCGGTGACAATGCCTTTATCAAATCAAACCAATTTTCTCAAGACTGTTAATAAACCAAAAGTCATTTTTTATATATTTTTGGAACAATATCAACAATCTTTGTATTTATATCTGGTTTTTCAATTTCCTATTTTTTTAGAAATTATTAATTCAATGATAAGACTTTTTCAAGATAATTCAATTATGTAACTATTCTAAGGATATTGCTCCATCAAATTGTTATTATCTTATATTACATCAATATGAGTAGCATTGATTATGTAAAACACACAGCCTCGTAAATAATAGGATTAACACTAATTTTCGATATTTTGTTTAATTAGCCATTTGGACACTCCTTTGAGTCTAAGTTTTATAGTGCGGCAACTCTTAACCATCAATGTCTCTTGATATTGACTACTATTTGGATCTTTAGATCTAAACAAAATGATGAGTTTATTTTTTTGGCTTTCCTAATTTTTATTCCAGTAACATTACATTTTCTATTTAGATTAATACATTTGTGTCCAATCAATTTTTAAGATTGAAATAATTGGAAATTTATAATTCATTTAATCCTTTGGTATTTTAACGCAGATTTGATAAGCAATTAGAGGAAATATATCGAGTGGCAGAATCAAGTGAATCCAATGTAGAATCCAAATTATTATTGCATTTGATTTTTAAGAATCATATTTCTATTTGCAAAGACATTGAGTGTTTATGCATGCAAAATTTAAAATCATTCTTCATTAATAGTTCAATCAATAGCAACGCACTGAATCGGTGGTCAACCATATTATTTTAAAAGCAATTAAACTTTGCTCTAATTCATAAGGATTTTGATGTCTATGAACATCTTTCATTGAAATTTGTCACATTTCTAGCCAAATATTAGAACAACCCTATTAATGCTTACTCAATATTGTAAAAGATTATGAGTAGCCAATAATCTTAATCTTAATTGTCACCAAATAGAAGATAAACTACAACTTCATTTTATTTCAAAAATATCTAATAGATTCTTTTGAAACGCAATCGAAAATAATTCATGAGTCAATAAGTACATTGTTCAAAAAAGGTTGAGTCCTTATTACAAGGATAGGCTTAAATAGAAAATATTGGTACCTAAATATAAGAGGAATTGTTAAAATTAGCAATGGAAAAGTAAAGGTTTTGGGAGAACTACGCCAATAACAAAATAGCATCAATCTAGCTATTGGATTAAGCATTGGATAGAGTTTAACAAATGATTAATCAGACAAACTATGCTGTTTAGCAATTGAGGAATAAAATACAGCACTTAGTTAGTCATAAAAATGATTGTGTCAGTATTTTAAATTTTGAATTGCTCTATAAGATTTGTACAACAAATAATGCTTAAGAGATTTATGCTATCCAGTAGAAAATCAAATCAATTTTATTTGCGGACTAGTACGAGGATGAATGCTACTTGAATATCCACTTTCAAACCAAAGAATGCATATCTTTAATAGCAAATGTTTCTTAGTATAAAAGAGGAGAACTTTGGAAACCAAATCAGGCTGTTATACAGAAGTTCTTTCAAACAAATAAGGAAATTAAGCACTTAAATGATTTGTTACCACATTTCATAGCTGATATCCACAATGGAATCATAGAAAATTACATTAGATAAGGTAAAAGTTAAAGGAGTGAGGCAATCATATCAATTCTTTCCATCATCGGAGAAGAATACATTTAACCAATAACATTTACTCTCAGGTTCTTTTTCCCCAAATTTGATTCTGATAATGATTTTTACATGATAGGATTTCTAAAGAAGGATGAAGAAGTTAATGATAGCAATTAAAATGAAAAGAAAGTTCCAGGATATATTTGTTTTGATCAAAATTTAAATGTATTAGCTATTAATTCTGTTGTTGCCAACAAATTAAATCTCAAAATTTAACGTTATAATAATTATAACGGATTAGATATTTGCTCATTATTACCCACAATATTATCTTCATTGATCGATTAATACAAGTAAATCTTAAGCGGAAAGATTGATAACCTAATTGATAACGAAATGATAATTTCAAAAAATTAAGAATTATTTTATGTTCCAAATGAATTCTCAAAAAATTATAAAATCAATCCCAATGATAGTTTAGAAGATAAAATTCGAAAATTTGAATAGATTTATGCTGAAACAAGTGAAGATTAATATCAATTCTCGAACACTTATCAAGTGGATTATCAAATATTTTCAAAGAGATTGAGATACTTTGATGAACCGTCAAACACTGTTCATTATAGAGAATTCTTTATCTTAAGATTACAATTCTTAGAAAACACTGGGTCTAATGATAGTTACAATGGAAGAGTGTATTAATAAAATAAGAGTATATTAACAGAAATAAATGATAAAGATCTGGATGGAATGGTAGAATTGGCATCTAGCAGATCAAAATCAAGTACAAAGTCTGTACTGTAATAGATACAAATATTTCACCATCTCTTATCAAATCTAAATCAAAGCAAACATTAAAGATTTTTCAAAATGATAAACATTTTCTTTTTAGTCTTTTTTGTTTTCACTTTCATCTCTATTAGTTTTACTTTCAAAGATATAGATTTTGCATTCGAAGATTGTCAGACTACATAAATTTCAATGTTAAATGAAGCAGCAGTCTACTCTAATTTAGTCAATAGTTTAAACAATCAAGGAATAGTTGATATAGCCAAACCTCAGCTTGATATTGACATTGATGATGTAAAACTCAGCATTTCTTATTTGCAATACCAATAAATTTTATCAGATTTGATAGAGTACACATCAAACAACTTTCTAACAGTGATTCAAGAGGTTGAGTTCATTTTGGAGTTGCCTAGTAACTTCACTATGTAGTTATACTCTGAGTTTGGTTAAGGAATAGAATATAATAAAATTGAAAATGTTTTGACATTCAGATAAATACTATCTCAAAATATTCAAAACTTTAAATCGTTTAGAAAAAAAGAAGACTTGGGTTCTATTGTTTTGAATTATTTTAAATACATATAGCAATTAAAGCTATCCACTAAGTCATGCTTCGAGGAATTCAAAGAAGAAACCAGCGAACTAACTTCAAGAGCTTATAAAACCCTAATTTTTATGTATGTTTTATTAATTTTTATTTATTTGTCACAGATCTTTATGGTGAATAGAATGATCAAGAGACATAAATTTATGCTAAAATTATTTATAAGGACAGATTATAAAGAAGCTTTACTTGAGAATGATAAATATTCAATATTAACTTCATGGTTTACTTAAACTAAAAAAGGTTGGGATCAAAAAAGTATGTCAAGTTTATTGTCATAACTAAATTTAAGTGTTAAGTCTTTAAAAGATGAGGATGATATTATCAATGGGTTGACTTCTTCGGATAAGAGATCGACTGAGAAAGGGGAGAAGTTGATTGAGAACAACGAAAAGTTGAAGATGCATTTTTCTCACAAATACAAGAATTTTACTGGTTATATTACTATAACAATATTGGTACTGTTCACTTTAATTTACATTTTGACTTTCCATATTCAAATAACTGAAATATCAGAAGAGCTGCTTATATTTTCCTCATTTAGTTTGTTATTGTAAGATTATTAAATTAACTATTTGGTACAATATTTTCGATGTCAATATTACATGAATTACTAGTTCTACAATTATTTTGAGAATCAGATAATGGCGGAGATATACAGACAGGACAATTTCACAGAATAAGATCTGTAGGATGATCTACAGTAGTTAAATAAGAACGTGTTTAGTTCAATTTTAACCAATTTCGATGATGCATTAATGGATAGGATCTTGAAGTTGAGTGAGGAGGAGTAGACTAAATTTTTTTAAGGAAATGTCTGTTGGTTGGATCAAAAGATCTGCGATGAGGGTTCTCGAAAGGTGTTATTGAAGGAGGAGATAGAGAGCTATTACAACACTAGTTTGAATCAGATATTTTTGTAACAGGGACAAATCTTTTATGAGAATAACGAGATGTACAATATGGAAGGGTTGATTGGAAAGTACGTTAAAAATTTGTTGAATTCGAAGGAGTATTTCTTAAACAATGTTTGGGGTTTCGATATCATAATTAGTAGAGTGAGCAATTCGATTGTGTACTTTTAGAGTAGGATGAATGAAACAATCGAAGATAGCGAGACTAATATGTTTCTGTATGCACTTATGATTGGCTTAATGTATTTTTTTCTGTTGATGATGTTCATCGTGTTGTTTGAATGGTACTTCAACAAACAGGATCGGAAGAGGAGGTAGTGTTTGTTATAGATGCCGTTCTCAACTATTTTAAAGAAGAATATCTATTCTTGTCTAAAATTCATTGATTGATTATAATAAGTTATATGTAATTAACTAATTAATAAAGATACGACATTATTCTTTATAAAGATTACTCCATCACACATATAAATTTAATAGAAAATGGATATAGAATAACACACCACAACTGTGAAGGACTTGAATCATAATTGGGTTGAAGCCTAATATGCAGTCCGAGGTCTGGTGCCAGCGACAGCTGCAAAGATTCAAGAGGAGATAAAGAGCGGTAAGCAATATCCCTTCGACTCTATAACTGAGTTAAACATTGGGAATCCCCAAACATTCGGATAGAAGCCAATATCATTTAATAGAAGTGTGTTGGCAGCAATGTTGGATCCATCGGTTCTTCAGCATCAATCCGAGGATGTCTAAAGAAGAGCGAAACATTACTGTGACAAGATAGGGTTTGGAGTGGGTGCTTACAGTTAATCTGCAGGGTATCCAGTAGTGAGGGAAGCCTTAGCAAAGTATGGATTTTTTCATCTATAGATAGCTTCATCCAAAGGAGAGATGGGACAGCCGAGAGACCTAACATCAATGATATCCTGTTGACTGATGGGGCATCAGCAGGAATCACTTTGATGTTCAATTTGTTGTTGAAGGATAACAAAGATGGAGTAATGATCCCAATTCCATAATATCCACTTTATTCAGCAGTCATCACCTAATGTGGAGCCCAACAAATCCCCTACTATTTGGTTGAGGAAAAAGGTTGGTCAGCTGAGTAGAGTGAATTGGAAGCACAATATGAAAAGGCCAAGCAAAATGGGATAACTCCAAGAATCCTTGTCTGTATCAACCCTGGCAATCCCACAGGTTAGGTATTCGATAAATAGAGCATTGTCGAAATGATATAGTAATGATGCAGATATATTGTCTAGATTTGCATCCCAGAAGAAAATTGTAATTTTCGCAGATGAAGTGTATTAAGAGAATATTTACGTGGAGAACAAGTAGTTCATCTCATTCAGAAAAGTGGCTCTGGAGTTGAATTTGAATGTAGAAATCTACTCTTTCCATTCCATTTCTAAAGGCATCACTGGAGAATGTGGACTCAGAGGTGGCTACATGGAAATTACCACTAAAATCGATCAGGATGTCCATTTCCAAATTCACAAGTCCAAAAGTATAATCAGTAATTATACTTTAGCAGTGATGCTTTGTCCCAATGCTATTGGCTAATTAATGGCCGGTTTGATGGTCACTCCCCCCACCAAAGAAGAGGGATGTTCGGATCTTACTATTCAACAATACAACGAAGAATGTCGCTCCATTTTCGTTAGTTTACAGAAGAGAGCAGCTATGGTTACCTAATTCTTGAATGAGACCAAGGGAGTTTCCTGTCAACCCATTGAAGGGGCTATGTATGCGTTCCCAAAGATTGAACTACCAGGTTACATATTTTTATTCATCCTTAGAAAAATTCATTTAATTTGCAAAAGAGTAAAATAAAGAACCTGATGTCGTTTATTGTTTGGATTTATTGAATGAAACAGGACTGGTGGTTGTTCCAGGCTCAGGTTTCCTTCAATATCCAGGTACTTATCATTTCAGAATGACAATCCTCATTTTACCAGAAGAGAGGCTGCTTGCGAAAATGAAGATATTCAAAGAATGGCATGAAACTCATATGTCTAAATTCCAATGATTTTAATTTATGGATATAAAAAGAAGAAATATTTAATATTCAAAACCATGTCCTGTTTATCTTTTGGCTTCTTTTGGATGTGCTACCACTCTCCTAAGTGAAATACTTTGCTATCCCCTCGAATACATCAAAGTCAAATTATAAATGAATGGAACTCAAGGTTGTCCTAAGTACAAAAACATTAAGTCATTATTTGCTGAAACAACATCCACAAGACAATATTATAGAGCAATGAATGCCTAAATGTTGAAGATCATACCCTACTCTACCACCAGAATATTCGCATATGAATTTATACGAACTGCCTTTACAGGAGATATTGTAGAAACCACATACAGAAGGAAACTCTCTTGTGCGTCAAGTGCTTATGCAATTGCATTATTGACTGGAAATATGGGAGACATTTTGAAGATCAGAATGATAAACAACCCAGAATTATCCTTGGTTTAAGCAATATAATAATCATACAATAAAACTGGATTTGCTGGATTCTTCAGAGGTTATTGGCTGAATGTAATAACTATCACAGCAATCTAAGCTGTAGAGATATCTCTGTTTGAGAAATTCTAGAGATTCTTTGTGAAGAACTTTACTCAGGGAAACACCTCAATCGGCATAGATGCAATCTCCAGTCTACTCACTGGAATAAGTGGTGGAGTTCTGACTGCTCCACTGGATGGATTTAAGTCGAGATTCATGAATTAGGTGATTGATCAATAGACCTATTGGAAAACCTTCATTAGTTTGATCAAGGACGAGGGGTTGTTTGGGTTGTACAAGGGAACTTTGCCATATTGTGTAAAGATGTCAATCGGATCCACTTTGACCTTTGTGCTCTATGAACAATTCAAGAAGCAAATAATTTGAATAATATATATTTATGTAAAGTGATTATTATGAGAGTGACAATATCGAAGTTATTCCAGAGGAGCATAATGAACGGATGACACCCAAGGAGAGGGTCACTCTCAAAGAGTAGATCGAATTTCTATAATAACAAACAGCTCATCTCTAATAATCTATGGAATTGGAGTAGGTATTGTAAGTGGATAATCCCATTGCTTATCTGAATGCGATTGAGAATAATTTGGAATCTCTTAAAGTCACTAATTTATAATAGAGGATACAATGTTTGGCAATACTGGGATCGGGAGCGGAGAAATGTGTCACATTGAAATGTGTGCTGCCACAATCGGATAATTTGAAGCGTTTCCAATAGCTGGAGAAGTAGGTTCATTTATTGGAGACCATTGTTGGATAGAAGAGTTATTCATACAACTCAACCATAATGTAAGATTTGAACGAAGTGTAGTAAATTATCAACTCAATCTAAGGGGAAAACAAGGATATCAAATTAGCATTCACTCAGAGTCTACCTCAAATTGATAAGATCAATGAAATCTTTAGGCAAGTGTAATTGCTGGTGGGAATAGCTGATTTGCTCCCGAACATCATCACGAGATTGGAACAATTAAAAAATGCTCATGATCAGAGCATCTAGTATTAAAATTAACTAAAAGTACACAATATGATTTAGATTGTAGGAATTGCAAATAAAACACAATAAGGTTTTGGATTTGATATCGAATAACAGAAACAGGATCAAAGTTCTTTGTGCTAAACTAGCTTAGAAGTGAAATATATTATCCTATTTATTAAGAGATTATACAAAAATAAATCATTATCGAAAGTAATTACTTAGACTATTATCCTTAATCTAATGTCCTAAGTCAAGTGTTATCGATTTGTTCTTTCGATACATGACAAAATTATCATAACTATATTTCATTGGCAAAGGGGATTGTTACCGTCCACTTACATAAGTTTTGTTGATCCTCTGATGGAATTGAGTCTTTCGAAATTGTTTTTGTTAAAATTCCTCGTAATCCAAAAGCGAAGTTCTATTTGATAGATTCCCACTCATCCCAATGAGGGGATAGAATGAAACCAACTCATACAATTCATTACTATGATCAATAATTTGATCTAGATTGATGCTTTATTGTCTCTAAGTCTTCCTCACAATTATTTCCTATTGTTTGGTTGGTTTTGCCATTAGCTATAGATTCTGAGACAGCTGATCAGAGAGTCTCTTTCTGAATTCCTTTACATCTGGATGAAAGTTGTGATGACAATTATTTATAATCTGAATGGGTTAAATAATGCGGAGTGAAGTGAATTTGATTTAATAGAGTAATTTGAATTGTAACATGTTGATCAAAATTACAATTATTAGTTTATCGGTCAATACTATGTCTTTGAAGAGCAAATTGTATAAATTATCACCTTCATTGACAGAAATGTGAAAGTCTTGAGGATTGCGAATAGAAACTTACAGATGTTACTATGATTAAATTAAGATGCTTCTCAATTCTTGAATTTCTAATTTTCTTACATATTTAAGTATTGTTACTGAAGGAGAACAAGTATACTTTGGAGTCTTGTTGAATTTGTTGACTGTGAACATACTCACTTTTTCAGTAAACAATTGGATTGCCTAGATATATCCCATTTGTGTAGCAATGTGCATGATGGAATCCTGGGATGGTCCCATTCTCTTGGTGTAATCAAATTGATCTGGACGACAATTCGCAAAACTCTGTTTAAAACACATGAACTTACTCGTAATGAAGGTATTAACAATATTTCATGTATTGGAGCAACCCCTTTGGAATTCTTCTGATTCGGATTCTGATGTTTAAGCAACTACTGGACAATCTGCATTTGATTGACATAATCAGTCTCACTTCTACATTGTCTCCTGAATGCAAAATGCAATGGGGTGTCTCCAATCACTCCTCTCAATGGAATGCAAAGAGCCTGACTCAGGATTTTCATTTGGTCAGACCAACAGACCATGATTCCACTTTCAAGCATGTGTTCAACAACTTCCACTTCTAAACGATCGCATGCCCATAGGAATACAAATTGAACCAGCAATAAGGTTGGATGCAAATAGGATAGTAAGATCTTATAAATTCTGAATTGCTTATATTCACTTTTACCTTATATTTAATTTGGCTGCTAGAATTAATGGTTAAGGATGTTACAATTTGGTCAAGCATTCCGAATGACTTTCACACATTGAAGGTATGATACTGTGCTCGTCGTATTGGATGGCCTTTATGAAAATGGTATCGGTGAAATTCGAAAATATGTTAACAAATTAGCTGAAATTCATGTGGTGGTTCTCTCTCAATTGTACACCTATCTTCGAGGTTCTCAAATCAAATTGTTGAGCACTCATGTCGATCAAAGTGAACCAACTCAGAGAGAGGCGTTCCAAGGTGGGATGGTGCTGGTAAATTTGAAATGAATTATATTGGATGTCCAGACAGGTTAGATTGAGATAAGAGAAATCTGTTGAGAGTAATTGATTGTCTGAAATCTCCAATGTGCGTAGCCTCGGCAATGGCACCTTTGGAAATTCCGAGATTTGATTATGATTAAGGATCAAAATCTCCAGATTCTCCATCTGTATGATCTGATATGGAATCAAAGTGATCTGGTTGTAACTCAAATTTAGATATTACACATTCATCAGAATTGGGAATTCCTTAAGACTTTGAGACTGCAATTCACCTTCCTTTCGAGATATTATATTCATTATTAAATTGTTTTATTATTGTCAATGGAAAAATGTCCTAAACACTAAGGAAACATCACCTATCTCATATTGAAACCAAACTCAGTTATATTGGGCTGTAACGAATGCAGAGATGAACTGATTGCAGAGGGACACAAATCAGAAGCCTGCATTTTGTTATCCAAAGTATACATCTCATATTGTGACCCTAGGCTCTCAAAATACCTGAAGTATTATTAAGCAAAATCAACATTGAACCCATGTTCAAAACATTCTTTTCCAAGATCAGCTTGGTTTCAGGAGCGGAACTTGATCAATAAAAAAAACAATGGATCCAAGAATTCGAAGGAATAAAGGCAGAAATAGATAAAATGATAAGTGACACGAATGTTTTCTTTGAACATCTCTCTTAGACCCTTTAACAATACAGAACGAATTTAAGGAGAGTAAATTTCTATTAATAAAATAGATTATCAAATTTGAAACCTTCGAATAGCTCACCAGTTGTAATCTCCATGATCAAAATTTCAAATCAAGTCTCCTCAATCATCATCTATTAACATCGCCAGTCAATAATTGGACAAATAGAATAAAAAATTTAATTATACATCAATTCAATCCAACACGAGAGCAATAATGAGAATAAACAAACTATCGAAGCTCTAATTTAAGATTATAAGAAGAAAATCAACAAGTAAGTCATTACTACTATTATTATCAAGTGTCAAATTCCCACCTTCAACTGAAACATAAGATCGATTAGAAAATAAATTTAAAAGTTTCAAAATGGCTGTAGAAATTCGGTTCAAATAAGCCAATCCAAGTTATACATGTTCTAGTTTATTGTCAGAAACCAATTTTGACAATATTCAAGCTAGAATTACGCCGAATTCCAATTCAGCATATTCGCTTATTTACAAGGGATCATTTGACGGATTGAACACCAACCAATTTTGGAGTAAAGTCTCAAACAAGAGCAATCTACTGATGATAATGAAAACACGCAATAATCAATGTGTTTTTGGAGGATACTCCCCTTGCCAATGGTTCAAGACTCCCCAACCATAAGTTTTGGCAGATCAAGAAGCCACTTCATTTTTATTTGTTCAAAATCCTAATCAATAATTGTACTATTACCCAATCAAGAAGGAATTCAAGCATTAAGCAATCACACTGAATTAAAATTATGGCCCTATATTTGGGCAAACCAGATCTCCTAATTTCTACTAACTTCAAAGATGGATAATTGAATCTCGGCAATCACTACTTTAGAGATCCCAAAGAAAACTCACTAAGCTTTATCTTGGGACCTAAATTAGATGAGATAATCGAATGTGAAGTATTTTAATTATGATGCATTTTGAAAAGCTTAATTTAAACAATTAATATTATCATGAATACGAGTTCCTTAGAATCATTACTAATTTAAACTACAAATACATTGCCAGATTTGAAGGGACTTATGGTTTTGATGTAGTTAGCAATTCCTGCAGCAAGTGCTCCTTGTTCAACAGGCAAAAATATCTAATCTACTTCTCATCAAGAATTTCAATTCCCTTATGCTGATTAACTATCTGTCAATTGTACCACAACCACGTATGGCTTTGATGTTGTCACTTGAATTTATAAGTATTTTATCATTTCCTTTATGTATTTTTGAGCGGCCTCTTCACATTCATCAAATTACTCACCAGCTGTTTTGATCTCCACATATAGTTTACAGTTTTCTATATTAAATCTAGTTTCCAACCATAACAGACATCAGGGACAAAAATCGTACCTTTGCATAATGACTTACTATCATACCTTTAATCTTGAAATGATTACAAAAGAAAGGCAAACGTTTAAACAAAGTTACCATCACTTACTGTTACTACTCCCTTTTCTTTATACTCTTTTTTAAGCGATTGCGCAGATGTGAAGGCACTTGTCATCTTGAATACTCTAGTCAATTATTGATCTTCTCTTTTTAAGTAAACAGTTGCATGATATTACAATCTGAGTGATTTTTGGAGTTTCGTCTAATAATGGAATGCAACTTTCTCTCATTTATTTATGTGCTTAAGTGATAGAGGGAATCAAATAAACTTCTTTATTAATAGTACAGATATTATTACAAATAATAATATTAAATGTCCAATATATTGTAGAGAATGGTAACCAAAGAGGTCAAAAGGAGATAAGTGGAGAGTCGCTTATTGAACAGATCATAATAAACATTGAGATAACTCATTCCTGATTTGAAATCTCCTATTAAATCACCCTAAGTCTCAACTGCACTTGAGTAATTTAAGAGTAAATTTACAGAAGGCAAATACATTTTTCAAATTGAATAACAAAGAAAAAGCTAGTTAGATGAGGTTTTTTCGAGGGTTCAAATACCAATTAAAAGGGACTTCTTGGATGTATTATTGCAATAATTTGAAACTGAATTATGGAGAGTTTCTAATGAACAGAATCTCCAGTACTTAAGTGATCGATACTTGAGTTATCAATTATCAAATAACAAATTTCTTAAACACCTTGTCTAATTTGTGGATGAATAGAGAGAGAAAGCTGAACTTGCATTGGGTTAATTGGCAGGCAAAGAAGCTACGATCAATGAATTGTAAAGTAAGTATGCGCAACTGTAAATGATGTTTCAACAATTGTCTCACAACAAAGATGATGGATAGACTAAGCTAAATAAAAATGAAAGTGTCAAAAGATAGAAAGAATTATACATGGAGAATGTGAGATTGAAGAATGAAATTGAAAGAATTCAAGACAAATTAAAGTAAATTGAGAATCAAACGAATGTTCAGAAATTGCAAGAATAATATTAGGAATTAGCAAGAAAGTCAAGTGAGAAAATTCATGAACTCTTGAATGAAAATTAAATCAAAGAGAAATAGCTATAAAAACTCAATCTCCACTATCAGAACATCAAATCACAATATAATAAATTAGAAAATGAATCCAAAGCCTATTAAACTGTATTTGAAGCCAATAAGTAACACCTCGATCGATTGATTAAGGAGAATGAATTACATACAAACTTAATGAATAGATACAGAGAAATAGCTTGTATGCAAAGGGAAGACTTTGAAGTGAGAATCATGTATTACAAGGAAGAATTGAGTGTAGCATCGAAAGCAAAGGATAAGTTAATGTAATTGTAATCAAAGTTAGATCGATTCTAAATTGAGAAATCCAAAGACATAGAACCACTCCCCAATAATAATTATGAGAAGGAGAAGACAGGCTTGGAGAAATTCAATGATCTATTTAGTAATGATAAAACCTATCAGCGTTTAACATATTAAGCTCTGCAAGAGGAGAAGGGGAGAATAGTAACAAGAGTAGGACATTCAATTGTCACTATGGAGTAACATTTCAATGCATAGGAAATTTAATTGGAGAAATTCACAATTGGATATTGTCCATTTGTCAATTTAGTTGAACATCATAAAAAAACATTGGAACAAGAGTTCAGTGGATTATAGTATAAACGCCCAAATCTACAATTGCTAGTTACATTACGAGTTATTCTTGATAGCAAATGGAATGAAATGTAAATTAAACCAGAGAAGATGTGGACTCATTTACCTGAGTTCGCATATTCTCATTTGATGAACTTCAAAGTAGACATGCAAACCAAATCCATCAAAAAGATTGATCAGGATGTTCATCGTATAGATGATCAGATTATCAAATTTATAGTGGATTTCAGTAATCCTGTATTTGAGAAGAATTGGGAATGCATCACATTCTAAGAATTCTTAAATGACTTTACTAGTTAAGATGAGATCTATTTCTATTTGTATGCTCGAAATCTCTTATTCCGTGGGCCTGAATGCCAACACACAACCGCATACTATGAGCCTCATCATTACATTCCATTATTGTAGGCTGAGTTTGTAGCAACTCATATACTCTCACAATATGAAACTGCAACCCTCCAGCAAGTCAAAAAAGTCTTAAGAGAAAAAGCAGTCAACAAGACCATAACCAAGAACCTCTTCATTGTGGATGCTTCTTTTGTTTTGAGAATTTTGCTTGAATTTTATAGAGTAGAACGTAGAAATAGATACAAGATGTTTAAGATAGCATTTGGAAGTAGAGCCACAAATATCAGTTTCAAACAGTTCAGAGTTGTATTGATCAGCAATTACCCCTATATCACAGACCTTGAATTAGCAACCCTTTATAGAGAGGCCTACTCTTTTACTGGCACAGGAGTATCAATTGATTCCTTCTACACTGTGGCTTCAGAGACTGGATTTTTCATTAAGCATCTTAAATTATAGAGTCTAACTACTCAACCGAAAATTGTGAATAAAGAATTCGTTTTCGAACCCAACACTCAACCCTTCCTTATTGTCAATGAAGCATACAAGAGAGTAAGTTATGAGTTTAATTTTAGTTTCAAGCATATTAAAGTAAATTAGAGTAAATCTTAATTGATTTTGGTTTGGAGGAACTGTTTGCGTAATTTAAAGAATTCGACAATTTGATCCAATCGAAGTTTGCACCGCTTTAACACAATCAAAAGTCCTTGTCATAGGTCATTGAAAGTTACATGAGTGTGTTTAGGAACATCAATAACCTCATTTGCAACAGACTGTACCTCTAAGACTAGTAAATATCGTATCTATTTAGGATTCAATAAGGGTAAGAGTTCCTTACAAAGCATGAGGACAAGATGAAACTCAATAAAGAGTAGAATAGAGAGGCTTAATTTTACTCTGGCGATAATTTTAATAAACAATATTTGAGAAGAGAAGACTTCATTCCTGATATAGAGATATTGAAAGGACAAATGGATTGTTTAGAACATCTCGGCTCTCACTTAGAATCTTATGAATTAGTAAAGAGAAGGCGAGATTATTGTATGACAATTCAAGCGAAGAAGATCTAGAAATTTGTTAAGAAAAAGATGAACAAATTTTATAGTTTTGTAAGTTCTTTGCTAAGTGCCAAATTCAAAGCTTCACTCAAATAAGGGAAATGATTATAAGATTGTTGTCATTTATTATTAGAAAATTATTTAATTTAATAATTGATGGTAATAGATGTAAGAATTTGAAAATCATTAAAAATTACTAAAACTGTGTTTAAATTTAGGAAATAACTATCCCTAAACTATTTAATGGTCTGTTTCATTACATTTCAAATAAGGATGACTCAATGCCTGTTTGATATTGATCCTGTATTAAGTGTTGTTTACGAGACCTTTCAAGAAATTGGTCCCATGACCAGGTATGAGAGGGTAAATTCCTTAATCGGCATCAATTGCCTTGGCCTCAAAGTTATACAGATAGAGCATAACTTTATGCAATCCATAAATATCAGTTGTGTTTGGCTGATTCTCAATTGTTGCTTTGCTAAAACCAATCAATTTTATTTCGTGATTTCTGCCGAACATGAAATTTTAAGGTCTAATTTACCCATGAACTATATTATTTTGTTACAATGTTTCCAATATAGTAAGGATTTCCTAATTGCATAATTGTAAGTACCTTGATAACATTTTGATTTTCTTCATGTGTGTAATCCTGCTCTAATTAGCGATCCAAATATTCTAAGATAATATAATAATATTTTGAAGATTCATAAACTTCTCTGATGGCAACTATGTTTTTACAATTCTTCAGTTTCCTTAGAATTTTGACTTCTTACAAAAAGTAAAATTCGCTTTGTTTCTTATACATTTTGCAGAACATCTTTTCTCCGTTGATAGTTGATTTTACAATTAGGTTCTTGGGTAAAAAATAACAATTACTGCCTTGAACTCTGTTTTTAACATAGTTTACAACTCTTCATAGATTTCAGATGCTCCCAAGTACATTACACAGGAATTGAGTTAGGCTTTAAGTTGTGATAAATTTTTAGAAGAAGATTAGAGAGTGCAATTCTCAATAGTACATTGTTCAAGGACTTTATTCCTATAATACCATTGCAAATGTAGATTTAAGGAGATGTGAAATTTAATCTCTTCAGTTTAGATTTTAATGAGTATTGAATGTTCATCGCAATTCAAAATAGCTGGTTTAGCATTAAATAGGCAATCAAATATTAAGGATTTTTGCATGATTATTTTTATAAAATATCCTGATTTAAAATTTGAAAAGCTTATACGGACATATGTCAATAAATTCTAAGTAGAGATTTTAGATTTAATTACATTTTAATTAATATTTTAAGAAAATCATTTAATTTTTTAATAGTATGAACTCTTTGTATATTAACTTATCGCTTCAGTCACACCAGTAATTAACTTTGGGTTCTATGTAAATTTCACAGGTATATTTGTTTCGCCAAAGATACTTTAGATGTATTCGTGTCGCATTGCATCTTCAAAAGTAAATCTGTAATCTAGATTTGGATTCATCAACCCAACAATAAATTCGTTGCCCTTATCGGGAATATAAGGCAATGAAGTGTAGGAGGCCTTGAAGCCATAACTAAAGTCATTCAAATTGATTACAGTTGAATCATAATTTAGCCTATGTTGCCAAGGTAATTGTCAAGATCGATATCTTTGGATCGAGAAGCGTGACAAAAGCTAATGAGTTTTATGTTGCCTCGCTTATCCATCATGAGATCGGACAATTTGAACTTGGAATATTGAATATTGTTGTCAATTAATATCCTAATGGTTTTGAGTAAATCCTAAGAATATCTTATTTAGATACCAAAGTAATAATCTGGATTTCTTCATGAATCAAGTCTACATTCAAATTATGGTCCATCAACTCCATCACGATGTAGATGTGAGCCTTTGATTCGTAAACCTCATACAATTTAGGAAAATATTTGTGTTGTTACAGTTTGTACAAAATAATAATTGATTAATATAATTGTTCTTAGTTGTAAGCATCTTTCCTCAGAGATCTACAACATAACTTCACCTTTGTAAATCTATCTTCAACTTTACAGATCTTAAATTTTCGAATAAATTACCTTACAATTCTTTTTATCAGACAGCAACTCTATGGTTTCATAATAATTCTAAATTCCCAGGTACGATACTCTTCCATCTAGGTGCTACTTCAATTGATTTAAGTCCTCTTGATTTGCTTGGATCATTAGATCTTGTATATGAACGGATTGAATTCCAGAAGGCGATATCTCCCATCTCATTTTTATTTTCAGATGGATATCGATTTTGAAGACTAGGTTATGTTTAGTAATCTCAATTCTTTCGTCGAACAGTGTTAAAGAATGCTGGACTTTTAGAATCCAACAAGGAAATTGTAGGATGGTTAGCATATAAATTAGTATTTAATAATTATACTGCATTTTTAAAAAATACAAAACCCCTATTAGATTGGTGAAAATGTGATTTTTGGGAATGGATTCCTCCCCCATTTTTATTTTATATAAATTTCATATTTTAAACATATACTACATTCAAAAGATTTCATCAAGATTTATTTTCGAACTCTTTCGTTTTGTTTTTTTAACTTTTCTAAATAAATACACTTTATCCCCAAAAACTACTTTGATTTTATTGTCGAAATGAACGTTCTTTTCTGTAAAGGCTTTATCTAGCGGTTCTTGATTTATAGCCAGTTTTAAACATGGCTTTTTAGAAGTGAGTGCTGAATAACTCGAATAAGTGGTTGGTATTGTATTTTCAGGTGTACGAATTGAGAAGTAAAGGCTATCTTCTCCCTGGTCCATAAGAATGTGTTATTGAGTGTGCAAGAGTAAGGCTTTGGGTTCGACATGAGAATTAATTTCATGAATTGACTGCTCATTCTAAATGATTAATTCATCGACATCAAAGTTCATTTCATCTGAATTTATCGCTTTTGTTGGTGCTCCACAACCCATTATGATTAATATTAATTCTTTTCTATATGAGTTTTATTTTAATATAAAGTTAAAAATCCAGGAATTGAGAGAATCATTAATATTTCATAGTTACTATAAATTTCACTCTATTACACCTTTAATTAATTATAAGGTCGAGTGATTCTATTTTTTAATGAAAAAATATTATTTTATAATACTTTAGATTATTCTTCAAAAATTCTTCTGTGAATAATATGCATCATCTCAGATTTACGCCCAATCACTAAAAATAAAAATCTACCAAGAGACCCTTATTGATTTCAAGATACCTTTTTATTTTACTACCAAAACTTGATTTAAAGTATACAAATGAAGACACGTATTAATAATTGGTGTTTTTTTAATAATGATGAGAAATTACTTTATAATATTATTATATTTCATTTGATATCATAAATTAATGAGCCTATTCGCTATTCTATCAACTTCTTAGTAGATTTTGGGAATCTTTACATTGACCTATTCCTTCCTTTGAATTTTGTTTTCCTTTCAAAATAATATTGAGTTTTGAAAATGAGTGGTTCTGAGTCACACAGAAGAAATTTCTCTCTGACTTGTAAATGTTATCATCCTTCCAATTAGACCTATTGAACTTGAATTAAATCACTCTGATTGGATTGTGATAATTTTTCAAATATTTCACATACTTTGGTGTCCGTAATTATTAATATAATTTAACGAAAATGCTGAAAAACCCAAAATTTAAAGAATCACTGACTTCTCGATCATAACAATAAGAATGTTGCAAATTATAAGGACACGAGAACAATCTGATCCAATTTGTTTGTGCTTGTCATGAATGTCCTTATCGTTATCAGAAGGCATGTGCTCATTGTGTGATTAAGTTGCATGGGAAACACGTTGAGGACATGAAAGAGATCGAAGAATTCGATACGATCATTAATGAAAACAGCAAGAAAGCTAAGAGTTTGATAAAGTAAAGTGATGAACTCTTTTTGCAATTGAAAAATCCATTTGGGAATTTCTTTGAATAATTGAAGCAGTAGTTGATCGAGATGATCGACAGTGTTCAGAAACGATATTTGTTGTAAAATCAAGAGAGAGCATAATAACTAATACGGAATGAATTGGATTTCATTAATTAATTCAATTAGAATGTGAATTCTAAACAGAACCGCTATTTGAATGATCATTCTCTAAAATAGTACAGTAATTCATTACGAACAGCATAGGAGAAATTGAGTAATGCACTTTCTCTATTTGAATTGAAATAGTTATTGGAATCTAATTTGATATTGTTGCTAGAGGATTTTGGCAAGAATACAGGAGTCAGTTATATAAGCAACACTAGTCGAAATACGAGTTAGAGACATAGTAGTTGCCACAATATAATGACTCCCAGATCTGCATTGAATGTGTTTAATCACAATATTAGTGCAATCAGATCTAAAAAAATTAGAAATTGATTAATTTATGAGTAAATAATCTAAATAATATCTCTCTACGTCGGCACCTCATGTGGATACATCGCAATTATCTGGTGTGTCACCCAAAAAGGAGTTTTACGATGCCACAAAGCAATTGGAAGCAGCAAGGAGAAGAATCAGTCTTCTTAGATTGGAGAATGAAATGAGGTATGGTTTAGACATTCTAAGTGAGGGAGAAGAAATTGCAAATCCAACAATAAAAGCAAGAACAATTGAACAGGATTAGGGAAGATCACGAACTGTTCAAGGAATACAAATAGGCTCATAAAGAGTAAGTGAACGTGCAATTGCAGAATCTAGTGCATAGAACAAGGAGTATGAAGATGCAGCAATCTCAAGATAAAAAACTGATCCAACAGAACTTTCGATAGATGAAGTAACAAGAAGTTAAGAATATTAAAGAGCAATCTCAAAGAAATGAGTACATCATTCGATCGAACTTGGATTCAATAAAATAATAAAAGGCAGAATAAAAATAATAAGTTCAGACTCAAGTCTAACTTGCTCAATAAACTATTCAAAACTTCCGCAAACAGAAGTACCTCCGATTCATTCAGGAACATCAAATCTCCAAATCTCAGCACTCTCTGGAAGCAGAGTTAAGGTTACAGCAGATCGAAGAACTCAAGAAACAAGAAGCCTATCTACTGATCAAATTAGATGAAACCACCAATGTAATTTACTATCCTATCCTAGCAAGTCAACAAACTCAATCAAAGTGCCTTGATCAAGCAATCTCAGACCACACCATAGACTGCATCCTATTCTTGAGATATTATTATGTTTTACAATCATTTATTATATTACTAATAAATTATAATTAACTAATGAGTGAGGATGATTAAGTAATCTATTATTCACTATGACCATGTAGCATTTCGTTGAAGATGACAACAGTGAAGACGATAAATTTGAGGAGAATCTTGAAAAACAATACGCTGTAATTCAGTTACATTTATTGTAGTTATACCCTAAAGCTAGCAATAAGAGACCTGAATCCAAACATGGCAGGCCTGAGAGTTCCAAATTTTAGTATAAAAAATAAGAATAGCAAATCATAGAATAATAGCCAAAGCTATTAGAAGCTATACCTACTTCTCAAGCTCTCAAGAAGTTTAACTAATTAGTTTCATTTCACAAAATACAGATTGAATAATTCTGGAAAAATCATACAATTATGGCTTCTTAAACAGAATTCATAGGTTTTCTGTTAGAATCAGGTACTTTATCATTAATAAATAAGGATTTCAATTTGAACAATATGAAATAAATTCAATTCTTAGTGATTTAACTAATGATCGTGGTGTTATCACTATTGAAAGTCTTTGTAAGAAAGTACCTGCATGGCATTAAAATGAGAGTATTTCTACAATTTTATTATTCACTTTAGATGCTATGTTAGAATTTATAAGGGAAAAAGCTCTCAAATTGGCTCAGGAATCGAAGAGAAAGTTCTCTGCCCAAAGGAAACCGAAGCCACAATCAGCAAGTACAAAACGCAGTGGTTTCAATAAAGGAGAATCCAGGCCAATCAGTGGCATTTCAAAAAAGTATTAATCCGGTTTCAGTGATTTGAAAATGTAATTCTAAACTTGCCACATATAGATCCAACATCAATGATAAACCATTGTAAAACAGATCCAAGCACTACCTACTAATGGCCAAGCAAAGACAATAAGAAGAGGATCGACTTCTGCAATTAACTATTAACTAAGGCAAGAATGAATACGAGTATGAAATGCTCATTAAAATGGGAGAAGCCAATGAATTGTCTTAAGAACTTGATAGCAAGATTACATACAGAGCATACAAGACTGCACAAGGACATTTGAAGGTGCATGTCTATGAATTGGAACACTTTTAAAGAGATCTCGCTTTGGAGGAGTTTTAAAGAGAATACAACATTCTAAGGAGCAGATATAATGAGAAAAAGAAATTGAAAATCTGGGAAGTGCTCAGTGAAAAGAAGAAAAATCAAAAGAGTCTCTAGCATTTTGGATCTTCTCAAAAAGAAGAGATCAAACAAAATGAAGTTGATGGTAAAGCTGCGAATAAGAAAGAAAGACAACAAGAATTAAAGAAGGTGCTTTTGGAAACAATGATGCTTTCGAATGTTCTGAAGGAGTAATTGGTGGTATTGAATAGGAAGGGTATCAATGCAAATCTTAGCCAAAGTGTAAAATTATGATATATAATATATTTGATTTGATACTCTGCTTTGACTAGTCCTTAAGTGTCTCTTCAATCAATTTATTATTGCGATCAATAATTAAATCAAAATAGTTTGGATAATAATAATATTAATGTCTTCTAAAAGAGAGGTAATTGCAAAACATCGAGTTGAGAGTGCTAACAGATCCTAGAAAAGGAAATTGGAATAGGCTATGCTTCAAATCAATAGTCAACAGCCTATCACAAAGGCCTAATAGACTTTGCCTTCGGAAGAAGTTGAATTGTATAAGAATGTGAATTTGTAACATGTGATTAACGGAGCTGATTTTGTTTGGAATCACCTAGAGAATATGCCTAAGAAACAAATGGAAGCAGTCTTTCTCCCTCAAACTATTGCTGGAATGCAGAATGTGTATTGCGTTGTCAAGAAAAAATATAATGCAGAAATGGCAAGGAGAGAGCAATTGGGAGTTGAAAGAATTCAAAAGAACTAAGAGAAACACCACTAATTCGAATAGAGGAAACTTAAAAATCAATAAATCTATACTAAATTAGGATTGAAGAAGACTTATCAATCTGCACCTGTTACTTAAGTAACAGAAGAACCGCTCTTCCAACGATTAAGTAAGCCCAAGCAATCATTCATTCAGCAATCCACTTATGATCTACCTGATTTTAGAGGACTACCAATCAAGAATCTCTCTAATGTAGACAAATACAAAAATCCAGTTCTGATTAATCATTTCATTAGTTCCAATATATTACCTAAATCTGTAAATAAGGAGAAAATGAGAAGTAAATTCGAAACTTTCGATTAAAAACTCGAATAGTTTCAAAATACAATTCAGATGGACGAAATGAATTTGGACAATAATTTCAAAGACAATGCAATGATTGAGATTGATCAATTTGAATAGATGCTATCCACAATTCCAATGACAATGTACTCACAAGTAAAAGACAGAGAGATTCAACTGTTGTAATCGGTTGAAGGATTTAGATCGATAAGGAAAATAAAAAAAGATCCAAATTACAGACACTTAATTGGGAATCAAATCAGAGAAGAAATTTTGACAAAATAATGATTTTAATTAACAATATATCAGAGGTGAACCTTCTTTGTGACAGTATCCTCAAATTAGCATTCTTCTTCTTTGATTTCTGTATCGAATTCATCTTCAAATTATTTCCACAGATTCGACATGCTCAGTTCCTTTTGAAACTTATTCTATCATAATATTATTATGAACTTACTTTTTCCAAACCCAATAAAAATTTAGCGACTTGAGTAGGAGTGAGAATACTTCTCATTTCATCAATGAAGTTTTCCAAAGAATTTGTCTTTTGATAGAGATTCTCTTTTACAGTTTACAATTATTTGATGATACTTTGAATAATAAAATAATAATTTTACTCTTGCAATTTCTCCTTATCCGATTAGATTCTCTTATAAGATTTCTTCAGGGATTTCATTTGCTAATCTGATATATCGATTTCTCGACTTAGATTGGTGAACCAAGTTGGTTCAGTCAGATTAGGTCCTGATGCCCATAACAGATATTTGACGTGAATAGGAAAAGAGATCTCCATTATTTATTGTAGAAAGTAATTGGAAGCATTGACTCTCTCCTTGCCTCCTCCACCAACTCTGAATCTCATTGAGTCCAGTAACAGATTTATCTCATTGTTATCAGAATTGTTTTGCACTGCAGATTCCAGCTTGTCAAACAATTGTTATCTACCTACAAAAAAGTTTTATAACTACAATAGTCTCATATACTTACTTGGGGATTGGACCCAATTTATTACATACAACTACTGTGCCCCTTAATAATGCGTTTGCATTTTTCTAACTCCTCCTTCAGTGTGTTTACTCTGTTTTCTAATAATTCCAAATAAATTTTCTTTCTCTTCCTCGAATTCCTAGCGCATTCCCTATTCCTAATGAGTTTGGCCTACGTAGAATCGTCTGTGTTGGTTGAAACTTTCCTCTCAAACTTAGGAGTCATGGTTGGTTTAGATTCTTAAATTAGAGAAGTGATTTTGTTAATGTAAGTGTTCTTTAGGTTTTGCTTGCTTGTCAGAATAGTATCCTCCGATTTCTTCTTTTTTTATTGCTTCTTCCCTTGACTTTATTGAGGTAGTTAACATGATGAAAAGAACTCTTGTTAATTCGGACCTTCATCATCTGAGTTCTAGCATTACCCGAATGAGCTACTATTAACATAAGGAAAATTCGATCTTTGTGATATATTAAACTAAATACTAATTCTGATCCATTAAAAAGTTCACGAAATGGTCGTCCCCAATAAGCTCAAAATGATTATTATACATTTATTTAATATTTCATCATTAAAGCTAACTATTTATAAATTATTATCTCATATTTCACGTATCTTCCTTGAATCTTTCTCAATAAAATTGCACAATCTAAAATATCTCATTTTCAGCATTTGAAGTAAGTTTACATTAGACTACTTTCTGTCTATCCTAAATTAAATAGAGTTAATTTGATTATTTATTTATATTCTTCATCAATAAAGAGTAGCAACATAAAATGAGGCAAATAGAAAGAATTTTAATTTATAATTGAAGTGATATGCATCAATTACTTACATAAAGGAAGTAGTATATCAATTAATTATAAAACTATGAATATTGTTACTCTTAAGAACTTGATAGACAGATTTGATTCATCAAAAATATATATATGGATCTTGTTATAAATATTACTGTCAAATTATAGATATAATTAACTTAATTATTCAAGTATTTGGATAAATTTCTGAAGTTGGATTGGAATAGGAGGAAAGATATTTGTATTAAACTTAAGAAAAGTATTTCAAAGAGCAGGAAAATATAATATCATTGTAGGGAGGGAAGTGTGAATTAAAGATTTTATTAAAATATTTAAATTAGAAGATAAGTAATGAAAATAAGTGAAAATTGATATCTGCTTTTATTATTATTAATAGTCTTTAGAATTTTAGAATTAATTATAGAAAAAGAAGGGAATAAAAAATGGGAGTCAAAATACTTAAATTATTTAGAATAGGATTTGATCAATGAAAAATGGATTATGCTGTCCTGACCTAGGTGGTGATATAATGCCTTTGTTTTGGAGATAGTAAATTTGTAATTTAATATATTATTTATATAAACTTATGAAAAATTTAAAAGAATGTTTATCTTCGGAAGGAGGTTATAAAAACACAAAACAATTTAAGGAAAATATACAAGATGAGTAAATTGATTTACCATGATTCTAGGGATACTTTGAACTACGTAATTGAGACCTTGGAGGACATTTTGCAAAGCTCAAAATCACAACCAATGTCGTTGGTGCTATCCATGAGAGTAAGTCTGTTGGTATGTTTAGCTGAGCAGTTGACAAAAGAACTTATGGATCTTCATTATGACTGCGTTGTGCACTCTATTTCCAACAACATTGTTTACATGATTGAGGATATTATCATGGCAGATTTAAAGAAAAACGAGAGAGGCAAATTTTATTTCAGTGATTAACCAAGTATGAATAGGAATTACGTAGATTAATCTCTGATTTTGCTTGGAAATACGCTGGTACGTTTAGCACTTGAATGCATTTTTGTGTGGAACTTGTGGCACCCTAATAATTTAGCTATTACTTAAGTGTATTTTAATATGTTTTAATTTTAGTTATTAACGATTAATCGACAAAGGAGTCTAGTTCCCAAAATTGCATTATTTTAGTGCCCAGAAAGTCAAGGAGTACTATATGACCGTGAAGGAGAGCTCAAAGAATGGAACCCTTTATCGATAGCAATCCTTGATGTTGCATGAGCAATACTTTGAGCAACTCAAGAAGACTATTGAGAAGAACCAGTACAGTAATGTCAAACTACATGAAATCAATGAGGAATTGAAATGTAATTAAACTTGAAAATCTAGAAATCAAGCACGTAAATGAAAATTAAAAATAATTTATCGAGAACTTCAACAGGGCTTACAAGGATTATCTAGTCAACAACAAAATAGAAGAGTTCAATAATCAAATTTAATCGATGTATTCGTATTATTAAATTAAGTTGCTTAGAATACGACGAATTGTAAAGTCAAAAGAAACAGAGTAAGAAACTTACAACTTATTTTTAGATAGCGCAATCTAGTTCTGCACATACTCTACTGACAAGCAAAGTAATCAATTATCAAGAAGCATGAGTGTAAGTAATTCTCTATCGATCTTAGTCGTAAAATTCTTAACGTAAAAATGAGAACGACGATAAACAACAATCTATTGAACAACTACTACATGAGAATGAATTAATATAGGCATAAATTCAAAGTTTTGAAATTCCGAAAACCAATTGTAATTTGAAGAAATCAGAAATATGATTCTTATATTGTAAACAATTATGTTATATTGAAATCTTTTATCAATATTAAATTTCTATAAACATTAATAACAAAATCCTTAAGATATAGTTTTATTTTATATAATCACAAAAGAGATTCTAATTCAATGTTAAAGTTAAAATCACTATCGGAATCATAATATAAATAACTGCATTTAGAGATTTCGAATTTGTATATATTTTATATAAAAATGTAAATTAAGCTCTTTGGATCAAGAAGTGGATTTTAGGATTTCATAAGGTATTTTCTAAAATCTTGCTGCCTCTGGGTTGAATTCTGGTGTTTCAATGAATTATAAAAATAGGTTCTATAGTCTTTGTCTTAATCCCTCTAAAGAAGGTTCTGGTCTACCTCTGTTTAACATGTCAGCCTCCCTATCAATCAAATCAACTATCTCTCGCGTCAGATTGCAGTCCCATTCTTTCACTGTCCATTTGGTATTAACGAGAATATCCAGTCTTTCATCCAAACTTAGTTTTCTTTGCTTTAAGCCTATAAATCATTGGAATACAATACCATTATATATATCCATCAATTCTCTTGCTCTTGTGGTATAGAGAGTATGAACTTCAGTGAATCTACCATCTGATTTCCTAAGCCACTTTTTAGGATCTGAGATAGATTTTAAGAACTTATTGATTTTCTCATCTTTGTTCTTTTGATTTGCTATAATCTTCAACCTGTCTATGGTTTAGAGTAAATCGGTTTCCTTATTTAATACTTACTTAAGAGCAGCTCGTTTTTCCTCTTCAGACATAGCAGAGGATTTGATTCTGGCAATTTCAGTCGTTCTCCATAGCTGATTGATATGGTTGATTGATAAATACTTCTAATTCCTCATATAAAATTTGGAAATCCTCCTTGGTTCTAGGATTGGTTCTTCTTTCTATTTCTTTCTTGTGTCTGACTTCTTCTTGTCTTCTGAAATCTTCTTCTTTTTCCAATTATTCATTTTGTAATTACTGCTTTTTTTGTCTCAAGGCATTAGTTCTCCTCCTGGCAAACCAGCCTCGAATCAATCGTTAAATAAATAAAGCTGCTTCTTCTCTTCGTTCTTCCCACATTTCACTTGTAAAATATCTAAGGGATAATAGTCAACTGTTACAATTTTGGTTCAAAATTCCTATCATTTCGTAAATCAATGAATAGATCTTCCTTTTCCATCTATGTGCCAAATTCCCTCATCATTATCGTAGACTTGGTGGATTCAAAATGAGTTTGTGTGTCTCTGTGATTTTTCTCCTTATGCTCTCTTCGATATTAGTTGGTTTGAGCAAAGGCATGATGCAACAAAGCACCAGACTTCTTATTTTTCAATCCTCCCAAGTAAGGCTTTTCATAATCTAAGCAAATGTTTGAATAAATAACTTGCTTTAATAATTTGGATTGTCAAAGTGTATTTCTTCTGTACTTCACCTTTTTCATCCTTAATGACAACGACAGATTCAAATTGTCTTCCCATAGTCTATTCGTATTCGTCGTTTTCATCAAATTGTTCCTGATCCTCCAGGAAGTTAACCTACTAATCATTATCCATTTTGTTAATATATATATATATAGATAAATAAATAAGATTATCAAAAGTTCAATTTTTTAAAACCCAAATTTTAATGTTATTCCTACTTACAGCATATAGATACACTCCATCTTCAGATACTATCGATGTACCGATGCTAGTACTTGAATCTAGGATGTGCAATAAGGTGGCTGTCGTCCAATCTATGATTTCTATTTTATCGCTTGTTGTGAGAATCGCCATAGAACTTGTTAAATGGAGATGCATGCAGTCGCACTGGTTCTTAGTTATGAATCGTCTGAGGATCTTGAAATTGATTTGATTGACAAGGTAAGACTTCGATCGTATTTGTCCGTTGATTAAGAAGAGTTGAGAATTAGAGAGACTGTTTATCATCGATACTTGTTTGATCTGATACTGAAGGGTCTTCGTTTTTTCATTCTTCATTATCTCTGGAAAATTGGTGAGGTTTATGGGTCCGAATGTACCATAAATGAAGAGTTTGGTATCATTTATAAACTAAACATAGTTTAATCCATAGGGGAAGTAATACTTCGACAGCAACTCACAAGATTGCGAATTGAAAACCAATAGCTATTTGTCTGAACCTGCACTTATTAAGTAATTTTCATTGGGACTGAAATCAACCTTCATCACATACGCCGAATGATGACATAATAATCTAAATTGCACCTACTAGATCCCATCAAACTCAATCCTCCCAATATTGCAATCGGCTGAACCACTAGCCAAGTATTTCCCAGAACATGAAAATTTTAGGGTGATTATGAATTTTTTGTGATATTTATAACTCTTGATCAAACTTAAATTATTGTACAAGAACATATTCCCGTCAAAATCACCTCCCATAAGCAGATTTCCCTTCTTATTCAGAGTGATGACATAAAAACTATTGTGGGTATTTTGAATTATTTTGAACAACTCTATTTGAGTATCATTATTATTATTATTACCATTCTGCATTTTATATAATAAAATAATTCAAAATTAAAGGATGCTTGCTATTACATTCCCATTCAAATACCTTCAGACAAATGGCACTAGTATAAATGGATAAAACTAATTAGACGACCCAAGAGTGATTCAGATTAGGAAAGTATTATTAACGCATGCCTCTTGAGTCAATTAACATCATCACTTTTGGATTCCTTGCCTAATTGAACAGAATCAGTCAAATAAATTACCATGAGATCTAAATTTAATATTAAACAGCAATTTCATAAATCATTCCAAAATATTTATACGAATACTTTTAACATGTGAGATTTAGATTAATCCATCTATTGTTTATTGAGTATCTTTTAATAATCGAACATAATAATTCTATTCTTATAAAATCATTAATAAGAATTGTATTATGAAAACGCTATTCTTAGAAATATACTTAAATTATTAAGAAATAAACAATAGAGAGAGAGAATCTAATTGTTGATGGATCTATTGATGAAAGCGGTGCTCATAATTTTAGCTCCTCCTATTAAATAATCTTTCTATTTTTCAGAGATAATACACACCCTCTCCTCTAATTATTATAAGAATTTCTTTTACTATAACCATTTGAAGAGTCTCTAAAATTCCTAAGTTCCTTTTAGATTCCTTAATTTAGTATGAATTCACAGAAGATTGAACTTGAGAAGGAATTAAAAATGAATTTTAATTTTCATATGTATTTTGAAATAGAATTTAATTGAAATAATAATAAAATATGCTTTATAGTTCACAGGTATGCATATTACTATTGTTTAGAACTCATACAATTTCAGCATATACTTTTCTTTTCTCGAACTTCTTCCTTACATCTACATTGTTCCTCTAAGAGAAAGCGCCTATCAATTATTCCCTTTAGACTTTGGCCTTGATAACTTCGGATCTATGAGTAGCTTGATTTCCCTCATGATCCTAAAAGGTCTGCAACTATCTAGAAAGCCATATAGCAGTATGAATTACTTAAAGACTTCCTTGTTTTCAAGTTGGACATCGTCTGCTTGGGTGAGGATATGCTTGATTCTTTGGACAGCACTTTATTTGAATTTCCTTTGTTTGACTTGGTTTGTGGAACACCTGGTGTTGGTGTCTATTAGATCAAAACTGGGTTTGCTGTATTGGGAGTAGTAGTTGTGATGAGTCTGTGGTCTGGGCTCAGTGGATGTTCTGAGTGCGGCTTGTTGAGTGCAAGGACGAGTGTTCATATTAAGAGTGATCTCATTTCGCTATAAATCTAGAGATTTATCTCTTACATGAGCCTCCTTTATTTAAGAAATAAATAAACTTGTTTATCATCTTGGTCTGTGTCTTTGGGCATGACTTCTCCGAAGGCATTTGAGATTTCTTTGATGAGTTCAGGGACTGACTTTTTGGCACCAACTACGAGTTGTTTGCTTGCAAAGAATTGTTCAAATTAGGCTAGAAGTTCTTCTCTGCCTTTGAATTTGTTGCGTTGTAGGACCTTCTGGAGGTTAGCGAGTCTCGATTGCTGTATTATGCCATTGTAATATCTGTCTGACCACAATGTGTTGTCATACCTATAAGATATGATAAAATTAATAAACATAATTCCTTAATTCTTTTTAAATGTATTCAAATACTCATTTTATAATCGATTATTCTTGGTTTGTTAGATAACTTGATTGTAATCAGCCTTTTCCGAGATGCTCTTGCCTAAGCCTTTGGCTTTTTTTAATTGGAGGTAGTAGAGATCCAGTGTGGCATTTTTGGTGTAGGTTTAAAAGGTTTAGCGTCTCCTCAGGAATTGCTTATCAGTAACAATCAAGGGAACTTGGAGAATGTGCTTGAATTTGTCTTTGGCTGTTTTTTTCTAGTTTTTGAGTATGAGAGAGAGTCTTTACTTTGAATTCCTTCACGTACTGGATCTCAGCGTCTTCAGTGATCTTGTTGAGCCAGGAGGATTTGAAAGTGACACCCAGTTATTCCTCCTGGACTCGTTGCCAGAAATTGGAATGAAGGTGATTCTTATCTACTTTTTTATTCATATATTTTAATAATATGAAACTTTATATAGTGTTTTTGGTAATTTGTGCGGTTGTCTCTCAAAAGGAGAACACAGAATTGTCCAAGGAGGACTAGACCCTTTTGGATAGTATGGTTAAGGACAAATTCGGAATGAACGTCTTAAATGATATACAGAGCGAGTACAGAAAAGATTCTGGTAATAATGTGTTGTGTATTTGGAGAAAAGACGGAGTAATTGTTGAGGATTGAAAGTTTACTGAACACCATCGAAAGATAGATAGCCTAGGACGAGTAGGACGATCTAGAATAATTGACTAAGGACCAAGAACTATGTATTAAAAAAACGAATTTTATACTAGACAATTAATAATAAGAGAGTTTGAAAGAGAAGATAGCAGAAGCCCAATATGATCATAGTAGCATCGGTGCAACGATCAGATTGTTGGAGGATGAATCCAACAGATATGATACTAGAATAAATGAGAAAGAGAATATCGTGAATGAATATGAATCAACTCTAATTTAATTGGAGGAGATCAGATAACATGAAGTAATATAAGATAGAGTGTATGAATAGAGTGCCTATTTCGAAATTACCAGAGATGACTCATTTGCCATATGCAGTTTAATCAAGAGAGCCAGATATTTGATTAGGGAATTATTACCTAGAAGTCCAAGGAATGTTGCATTTGTTCAGCAATACACTTATGAAGATAATTCTCATCAATTCTCTAGTGCTGATGTCTTGTAATAAATGAGAGATCTCTAAGTTGAGGCTTAAGAGACTCTCCAAAACAATGAACCATTTCTGAAGATCATAAGTTTTAAATATCAATTAATTAAAAGATGAATTTGTAAGTGTTTCTACTCAAACTGAAGCAGTTATTGACACTACTAGAGCAAATGCCATCATTAATTTATTCTAATAATTATACGATCAAGTAGACAGTACTAGTAGAGTGTAATTAACTGCTGAAGATGATAGAGAAAACCTCCATTAAAGAGTTAAGGATCAAATCAATGGAGAATTGGACTATTTACACTTATAAGTATGGAGATTCTCTCATCATCATATTCTAGCTCTCCATTCTCTACGATGAATAGGATGGTGTAGAAGCCCACATTGTCGCAGCTCAGATGGATCAGAAGGATGGCGAATAGAGATTGGCCAATCTGAAATAGTCTTACTAGGATTTATAAAAGTGCAAGGAGGATTCAAAGGTATTAGAGACACACGAATGACTAGGTTAATTACGGAGTCAGATCGAAGGAGAGGAAGGAACAATTGAAGTTATTAAGAAAAGCCAGGGATGTGCTATTGAATGAGTTCGATGCTGTGAGATGCTATCTTGAGGGTATTCTTAGTCGAAGTTTGAGTCAGGAATGATATTGTTATGATTAATCTAAATATTACACAAAAGTCCCAAATGTCGACAATGAGTATATTGATACAAAAATACAAAATTCATTATGCTTCCATTAGAGTGGATTCTCTACTCAACTTGATTTTGCATCTTTTGGACATATCCAATATCAATTGAATGAGAACACAACAAATAACAATTAATATGATTGAGAGTACAGTTGCAATTATAATTCGCTTGGATTGGTTATCTTTGCTTTGCAAGCCTACGGTTATTGTGCTATTTTACCCAGCAAGGTATTGATCGTGGTTCCTTCCAAATAATTTGCAATCTCCAATAGAAACACCTATTAAGTGTTCTGAACTTTTTTCAACTGCTATTCCTAGAATTGTTCACTGGAAACTAGTTACAACACTTCAATATTCTCAGTTTCCTCTATTGGTACTTGAATGGAGTAAGTTAAGACTAATATACATATTAAAATAAACATGTTAAATAATTTATGAACGTTTTTGAGAAATGTTATGTATAAAATAATTCATAAAATTAACACCATCACTATTACCATAGAGAGTAGAGTACTAAATCCGTCATTCTGACATAAATTGCAACTTGTTCCATTCCAAGTAGCTGAAAAAAAAGTAGATTATAAACAATTGTCCTTTGTGAGGAACAACGTATCTTCGGCATCCTAACATTGATCTTTGTCCCACTGGCAAATCTAGAAAGTGCCAGTTTGATCCCCTCGTAAATAAGTGCATTTGGTTTTGTCTGTTATTTCAATGCAATAGGGCTCCGAGCATATCTCTTTCTCGGAGTCCCACCTACAACTGAAGAGTTCGCATTTCGATTTGGAGATGATGTTCGAACACTTATTGGGATCGTAGGCAATGCATCTTCCAACGTTGTCCTCCACAATCCAATCACATACCTCACCATCTGCCTACTTTATAGCTGCCTAATTCTCTATTGCATCCGCAGTGCATACGCCTCGATCCTCTATCTAGTTGCAAACATAATATTGATTGTTGTTGTCTTTCTCCTAACATTCGTACTTTCCATCGACCATATTCGTTCCCGCTACACAAGTCGCCCATTTCTCTTTGCATTTGTTTGGGTCTGTAACATGATAATCGACACAATCTGAAAAAGGCCTGCAATTGCCAACATCATTTATTGCACACCCTATGAACTTTATGCAATCCTCTTCTGTCTTGCTATCAAATGATTAGCATTGTATTGTGCTGCATGAAAAACCATCCCAATCACATTATTCTGAGCCAATTTTACAATCATTTTCACTTTATAATTATTCACATGAACACACATGATCAACAAGTAATTAATTTGTTAATGCAATCAAGCCAATGAATATGCCATAATTCATTAATAATAATTATAATTCAATTTTATAGATTATATACATATACATAAATATATGTATCAATCATTAAAAACCTTTATCTATTTCGATATTTTCTTCTAACAAATAGGACAACGTATCTGATTCTGAGAGCACTCCACACAACAAATCATGTGAAAACAAGGCTCATAAATTATATTCGCCAGGCTGACTTTGCATTGGAAGCATTTTAACGTTTGATGATTTTAGGAAATAAGGACATCTTGAATGTTTTGCTTCAAGTATGCCCCTATCTACTTATATAAGAAATGTAACAGGTAACCCACCATTCCAATCTTCCCCAAAATTTAAATGATGTTTGACAAAAAGAATGAAAAACGGAGCCCAGGATAATCTGAAACCTCAGCCAATTTTTCTTATCCTGTAACATCTCAACACCTTAGTTTCTGGATTGTGAATGAAGTCCCCAAAAAAATCAAATACTACTTATTATACTAAATAAATCGAATGATATTAATATATACAGGAAGACCAGCGATTATTTCTCTCTTTATCAACCCGAGATTGAAGAGTGTCTATCCCCAAAAACTCATATTCTCCTAGAATATCACGAGGGCCTTCTCCAGATTGAAATTAAACTCATTCAAAGTGCTGACTTAAACTTTCAAATCGTATGCATTTTTAAGTTTGAAAATAGGTGCACGATCAACCACTTTATTTGAAAAAAATGCCTCCTAGCCCTACCTAAATCCCAATTAAGAGATGAGTAAATAATTCTTTAATCTTGGATTAGTCCATCTCAAACCCTCTGTTCTTTTCGAAGTTCCAGTGATGTACATGTGAGTGAAAAACTGTAGTCCTTTCGATTATTGACCTTCCTGTCGAATCTTTGATAGCAAGTAATTTTTTGATGATCTGTCTCCAGACAAACTCTTGAATTTAATTATCTAATTGGATTTTAATTATGGCTTACTTGCTTAATTGCAGACTTGGAGAGGTAGAGAATCCCAAAAATTGATCCTAAATAATAGATGAATTGAAATTTCATTATAGAATAATAACAATTTATATTATGTCAAATAGTTAAGAAAAAGAGTAAGAGCTAAAGGAGATCCGCAGAGAAATGCTCAAGGATGCAGAAAACCACGCTCAAAAATAAAGGTTTGGACTGTTCTCGTCTCCTGTTCCTTTGGCTTTGGGCGACGACAGCATGGAGATGAGGAAGAGACGTAAGACAATCAGAATGTACATCTCTAGCTCAAAGAGGAGAGAACGGCAAGCCTATAACGGAGCCGTCCAATATGAAGGTTAGCGCTACTCGGACGGGCAGAATCAGATCTTCGTATTTCGGACCTTTGAGTTTCACAACAGTTGGGGATCCATACAAAGATCCAGAATAAGTGCTTGCACATTATGAGAAGGAACAAAAGAAGCTGTGTAATAAGGAGGCTCCATTCAAGCCTCCCTCGGGTTATAAGGAATTGATGGGGAGTGCCTACTAGCACATGAAGGAATACGATTTCAAGAAGGTGGAGAGCAGAAAGCAATCTGACGGTCGTGTGTATTCTGCACCTCGGAATGTTACAACGAACCCGAGATGCAAGGTGCTGGACAAATCCATTCACCTACATCATGGACGATTACAATAGATATAGCGATTTTGAGAGGGTATTTTTAAATTGCTAGGAGTTAAGAAAGCGAGGATGCAGAGCAAGAGCAAGGAGAAGGAGTAGCCATTTCGAAGCACTGTGCATGGTGGAGCGACTTTCGAGAGGGACAAAAATTTGTTTGGAGAGACCAAGATGCCAGGTGCAAGTTAGAGGAAGTCTCCGGAACTGAAGTTGGCCAAGCATGAGTCAGCTTTTCGGCCAGTAAATGGGTTGAAGAAGGGGTTCGATGGGTTGTTTGCTCATTTTGAGTACAAGGCTGACCCGATGAGGGAGATAAAGAGGCATTACAGTTCGAAGAAGGAGCGAGAGAGTTTTAAGTAAGGACAGAGGATTATAAAATAATAGACCTGCAGATTTGGGGAATAAGACGAGACCCAATCCAACTATTTCTTGTTTCAAGATGAACATAAGAAGGGAGATGGCTGCGCATTACTGATTTTAGTATTTAATTTTATATAATAAATAAGCATTATTATATAATAAATATAATCTAAGATTTAGGTGGAAACAATGATGGAATGACGTAGTATGCAATTATTTTTTTTATAATGATTTACATCATAATTATTCACATTCGCACTATTCAATTTCCTAATATGAGGATAGATGAGGTAAAATTAAAGGAGGGAAAGGTTTAAATAAAATAACATGAACATTTTGAGCGAAATAAAGAAATAAGTGGAAATAGAAATGAAAAAGATTAAGAAGGTACCAACCTCAAATAAAACGATAACTTGTTAATAAAAAAAAGAATTAGTTGATATGGTAAATCAAGGAGTGCTCTTGAAAGATGCAGCAAAAGATTTAAACCTTACTTATCATGAGGCAAAAGTAGCCTACAACGAGCAAAGGAGAAAATCTATGAATACTCAGAGTGAAACTGAATCTGCTGTCTATAACATGCGGACGGCTGGAGTTAGTGATCTGAAGGTGTTCCCTAGACACTTTTTATTGTAACAAAGCGTCAACAATACCTTGATATCTGTTAGACGGCTATATAATATATTAGTTTTGAACCCAAAATAATAATGACTTTTAATTTAATTTATAATACTACGTCATAAATTTATAATGAACAATATCAAAACAGTTCCAGGGTGCCTTGTTCCTTCTCCTTCTTGAGAGTTTCGAAATAACCATAGATGATAGTGACGGATAAGAGTATTCCAGTTCCTAAAAGACTTACAAAGATAGAGTACCTGAACCGATGGCTCCCAAGAAATCAGCCAAAATTGTCAGAGCTCCTATGCACATTCCACCGAAGGAAGCAGCAATTGGGATGTATCTTTTGAGTACATCCTTCATGGAAGAGTCTCTGTATCCAACTATTTACATGTCTTGTTCTTTGAGTTGTTTGGCAACCTATATGTTTGAATAGATTAAATACATCTTTTGGTGATGATCCAGACACGTCAATCCAAGTCTTTGAGAAGACTGCACAAGTACCCAGAATGAATGCAGTATACAAAATAGTGTGGATGGGATCAAAGATGGCTTCGGAAATTGATCTGGGAGGTGAGACATAATAGACTAATCCACCAATGGGTACAGTTTGTCCATTTTCTAATTCTTACCAATGTCCAAGTAATCTGATTAAGAAATTGCCTCTGAAATTTCTGTATAGGATTTGTGAAAGGAAATAAAGATTGGAAACCAAAGCAGTTTGGAGGATGATTGGAATGTTTGAGGTATAGAACAATTTGATTGGGTAGGATGTCAATCCTCCTCTGACTTTATTGTTTTTGATTGGAATATCTACTTTGAATCCTTAGAAGTAGATAACAATCATGAAAACTAATACAGTGGCTAATAAATTAGTGAGATTAGGTAATGAATCTCTCAAGATGGCTGACTAGATTGCTGCAACCTTATCATCTCTGATAAATAATCCATGGAAGAGTGCAATAATGGCACCTTCGTATTCCAATCCGAGTTCAGTTCTGTGAGTGATTGGTGAGAATGCTTTCCACATAATGTTCTCGCAAATGTTGATGGCAATAAATAAGGATGTGCCTGAGTTTCCAATTCCATACCCTTTGGATAGTAATTCATCAATCATGATCATAACAATGGCTGAGAAGACTAATTGAATGATGATCAATATAGCATTGCCTGCTCCCAATTTATCCAAATCGCCGTACATTCCAGACCAAACATATGCAAATGCTTCACCGAAGGCAATTAAGATTCCTAACAACTTCTAAGCTCCTGAGTACAGTTGCTTATCTTCCTTTACATTCTAATCCACGTCGATTAACTTTGCACCTGCCAACAATTGCATAATCATTGAAGCTGTCACCATTGGAGAAATACCCAATTCCATCAATGTTCCCCTGTTGGATGCCAATATCACTCTTAACCAATAGAAGGGATCTCCAGCAGATGCCTTGTAGATACCGTAAAGTGGGATTTATGAGCAGATCAAATACAAGAGTGTGGCTATTGCTGTCCATAATGCTCGATATTTGAACAAAATCTAATTGTAAATAAGAATAGCATACTCTTCTTTCAGGTTCAGCCACATCTGGAATAATGGCCATTGCTGGTCTCATGTAATTGAGGATCTTGGTTTTGCTAGGCATTAAATTTATTATTGAAACAGGGCCATTTGTCTTTTTATTTCACATCATTCACACGTGTGAATTATATTATTATGGACAATATTTAATAAAGAGAAACTTTAGGCTTATTCATAAGATTCACCAGTATCTGCCAAATTCGTTGCGGAGTCTTAAGCTCCAAAGACGACGTGCTTACTAAGGACAACCATCAATGTTTGGGTACGTAATTAGTTGTAATGTGAATAGAGAAATGCACAAATCACATGATAGATTCCTTCAGAAGAATACAAGATGCATACAAATGATCGAAATACATTTAAACAAACAAAATATCATTATTTAATAACTTCATCAAACTTTTAAGATAATTCCTGAAGGATTGTGTTCGAATATTGCATAGTGTACTTCCCACCCTTCTCAATTATGATCTTATGATCCATCAACTCCTTAAGATTATCCTTCAATTGTATTTTGCTTGATACGATCATCTCATCCGAAAGAACATCATACAGATCCTAAAAGTTCAATCCCTAAAATTTATAAATATTATATATACATCTCTGCTTTCTAATACTTTCCCTGCGAAATAATACACTATGTTTTTCTGTTTCTGAGTCATACTCGACAACACATACCACAACCCCTCCTCTTGTTTCTGTTTGCCCACCTAATCCTCAAAAATCTGCAATATCTCCTGAACGTATGGTCTATTTGTGTGCACACACGAGAAGAAGGCTCTCTGAATCTTGCATATCATGGGATACCGATAATTGTCGAAACTGCAAGCCATACGAACATTTGGACAATTGCTCAATTATCCAAGTAACTTCTATGCTTGCTCATTCAATAAATGACGACCGTCTATGCTATGAGCAATAATAATGATCGATTGAGGAGTGTTCTCAATGCATTTGATGATCTGCTCTGAATTTCTGACATGCGAGTCTATTTTCAACACTTCACTCATCTTCTACAAGAACATCTTCATATTAACTAGAGGCTTGAATCCCTTCAGTACAAAAAAGTACGATTATGGATTACTCCTACAACACATCAAAATGTAAATACTCCATCAATTCCTTCATCGCCTTCTCAAGCAATTCAATCTTGCTCCCTATCCCATATACCAACACATTGAAATCATGATTCACTTATTCAACGATGTCTGTTGACCCTATGATATTCTCCTCGAATTTCTCCTTCTCAGCTTAATCAACCAATCTTGCTTACAACTTTGTTAGATCAAAGTCAGAACTATCGAATTTTGTGATCTCAGATGTGTCCTTTGTTTTCAGAGAAGAAATGTAATCCTTCAACTTTCCATATCTCCTTTGATATTCCTCTCTCCCTTTCTCATAAGTTTCCATTTACATTGAATGTATGATTGAGTTGCTTATAAATTTTGTAAAATAATAAAAATCAAGCACTCAATTTAATACTTCAAAATAATGGTCACTATTGTTTTGTGATCATATAGTTATTTGTCAATATTTAGTATATCAGATATTAATAATTTTTTAACCTTTTTTCATTTTATCAAATTATTAATATTCTTAGTAATGAATCTATTAGGATTATCAGTATTCTTATCCTTAATAGGGTTAAAAGTCATCAATTTATTTCTTAAATATATTATCCCTATTCAGTATTCAAAACATTAATATCTCCTTGGAAAATTTTGGAATAGAAATGAATCTTTTCTTTATCTCCAAGGAACCTAGAGCGTATTGATGTCCAGAACATTTGCTGAGGGATCTTAAAAGTATTTTTATTTCTCTGTTCCAATTTATAAAATGATACTAGGAAAAGCTTAGCAATTACAAATCTGTATAATTAATTATACAGATTCATTTTACACATACAAAAATGGCAAGTCACACAATGAGGTATGTAATGCAGTGATAGTTAAAAGCAAAGACATGGAGACTGACAAATACTACTTAATTGATAATGTAACTGCAGAAGTTAAGCAAATCAATAAGAACGGTGACTACATTAAAAAGTTCAACATCGAACTAACTGGCAAGGCAAATTATAGTGAGAGAGTTGCTAAGGCACAAGGCGTAAATTGCATTTTATCAATCTAGGATTAAGCCTACATGCCCTACAGCACCAAAGTGTTACAAACCAAACCCAATCTTTATACTCCTTAAACAGACAAGTTTGATGGTTATGCACAACTGCCTCGCACTTTGCAAGAACCCTACATAAACAACACTCGCAAAAGACCCAAGACCACTATCGAAGCCACCAAGTACTTGCTTGAAGGGAAGGAAAAAAATAAAAAGTACTTGATAGGGAAATAATTGCAACATATAACCGGCACTATTCATGATTACTTCAAGGCCAAGTAGGAGGGCAAAATAGAAATCTTGAAGATGAGGACTGAAACCCAAATGCAGGATTTCGTATCAGGAGGTTCTGTTAAAATCATTAATGGGCATGAATTGACTCAACCCCAAGTGTTGCACAACCCTCCAGAGAAAAGAGCTTAATCAGCTTCTAGAATCAAGTACGACACTCTTCCACAAACCACTGAAACTAGGGCATAGACAAGTCAATAGTCAAGAGTGATTGTGCCTCTGGAAGAATAGAAATTGAAATCCATGCAATCTTATGGGACACTGAATCAGGAGTTGTAAAATACGGAATCTAAGGCTTTATTTTAAAGTAGAACCTACATTCAAACCTCTCAATCTAAACGAAGTCAGAATGTGATTGACTAAAATGTGTAGTTATACAACATACCTCATTTTTAAGAGAGATTGGATATTTTTAAGAAAGAAATTCAGAGTTTTACTCTACCTCAAACAAAGGAGATCAAGTAGATTACTTCCAAAGGAAGATTTAATTGCCACTTGGCTGACAATAAAGAACATTATATGTAGGATAGGCTGATGATGAAATTATGTATTGTTTTTATTTTTCATAAAGTTCAACCTGAATAATTTAAGTCGAATGAAAGTCCAAAAAAACAGGAAATGGAAAAACAAAGAAGGATTCTGGCTAAAATGAAAGAAACCGACATGTTGACTAGAAATCTAAAATTGAAGTTGTGAATTACTAATTTACACAAGATGTGTTTTTAATAAATAATATATTATTTCAATCTTAAAAATCTTGATTATTATATCCCTTATGAGATACAGTCTCCAGAATAATTCAGATATAGAAAAACAATTCGAACCAAAAATATGCTATATTTTAATAAACATAGTTCATCAAGCAATTATTCTAAGACTATAAAATATTTAAGTTCATTCCATATAAGGTCTTCAAATTAAGTTTTGCCCTTCTGGTCAAAAAATAGTTATAAATCTGTAATGTTGTATCCTTATGGTTTTCTAGTGAATTTATTAAACACAATCTAATTCTTAAAGAATAGTAGTTCTCCATATACTTGGCTTGTTACTTCAAATACCCATCCTAAGTAATTCATTGATTAGCAAGGATCAACTCAAAATATTTGAATGCTTAAAACTTGCCTCCTTGATTGAATGATAAATGGTTTTGGGCAATTCCAAAAACTTTTCGTTTAACAAGAGAAAAGAACCTTAAGGCAAAATAATAGTGATTAAAATAATATATATTTATATTTCATTAAAAGTCTTCTAATTTTGGATGAATATATTTATCCCAATCTTTAGGTCTCTCTATTTTACTCTCTCCTTCTAACCACTTTTTCCTTACTCCATTCTCCCAAACTCCGACTTGACTCTGTCCATCAGACAACACATATCTCCCAATTCCGTGTTACTTCCCCTGTAACCAATACCCTTCATAACAACGACCATCATTCCATTTATATACTCCAAATCCGTGCTTCTTATCATTTAAGTACTCTCCATCATAGTACCTACCGTCTGGCCAATAGTAAATCCCTCTTCCATTCATTTGGTTTTGCAACCAAAACCCCTCATAGCGCTTTGTATGAACCAATCATCTTACCCTCCCATCAGGCCAATTATATAATCCAAACCCATTTAATTTGTTATCACTCCACATCCCTTTGTAGGTAGAGCCATCAGCCCATTAATAGGTACCAAATCCTGACTTCTTCCCGTATTGATATTAACCATCATATTTAGAGCTATCTGCCCAAAATTCCCTTCCTTGACCGTGTTACAAATCCTCAAGCCATTCCCCATCATACTAGGCTCCATCAGCATGGATGTACTTCCCAACTCCATTGGCTCTATCATTTTTCCATTCTCCTTCATAAAAGTCGCCATCTAAATGCCAAAACTTACCTCTGCCATTCGCTTAATTGTCTTTCCATTCCCCTTCATACTTAGCGCCATCAGACCATATTTGAATACCATAACCATCCCTCGTATTGCCTACCCACTCTCCTTCATAAATTGCTCCACTTTTGAACACATGTTTAGGCCTCTTCTCTCTGGGCCCTTGCTTATTCGTCTCATCCTGATTCAAATCTTATTAGTTTCGTTTATCCATTCTGTCTTTCTTGAAAATACTAGGATCATTCTAAGACTCTTGGGTCAGTTAAGGTTATTGTATTTGGGCACTGAAAGCAATAACTTAAATAGGTGCTATATCAGGAGTAGCAATAGGCGTGGGAGTTGGATTAGGAACTTCAGCTTAGTACTTCTATTCTAACTTCTTGTCTTCCACCTTCTTCAACTCAACTCCTTTACTCACTAATTACTCTAATGAATTACATGAACTTTCATCGTTTTCTTCTTCCCGAGGTTGCTGAGAATACTGATTCATATTCTGAGAACTCTGCTGTCTAACCTCCGATAATACTACCACTTATTCCTCTCTTTTCTAACAACTCTGACACTACGAGCATTAACTACCCATTTTTAATTATAAAAATATATATTATCATCTGAAAATCTTGTTGACCAAATTGTTAATAAACCTATAGGCATATATTTCTGGAGTTTGAGCGGAGACATTCAAGTTAGGGTTCATGGCTAAGAGTTGCTTGGATGCCTTCTCTGCCATTTTGGACAAGTTCCATTCCTAAAGATAATCTATTATGGCTATGTGATAATAGATGTTTGGCTCTTCTTGGGAAGGGAAGGCATTTTAAGGTATGTCTACCAGTTTTTCTACTTTGCCCTAATACTCACCCCAATCTATCTTCATTATTAATAGAGAGTAATCAAGCAAGTAAGTATTTTTGAAGAATTCAGCATCTTTAATCAATTGGAATTTCACAAAATCACTTTGTTGCTGTTCGATCTTGATCCACTTCTCTAAGTTGTCAAAATCGACATCCTTCAATGTGATTTTTGAGAGGTCAATGTCTTTGGGTTTCCCCTTGAGAGCCTCCCTTGCAACTTCACTGCCCTTCATATCAAAGGTTCTCTTGATGAAAGGACGAGGTACTTGAGATATGTTCCTCATCAAGACCATGTGATAGATGATGCCACAACTGGACGACAAGTAATTCATGTCATAGGAGAAGATCCCATAAATCTTATTGATGAGAGATTTCCTGTACTCACTCATATGATGGAAGTACTCTGGCATTCGTTGTCTGAAGCTGTTCAATTCCCTGTCAGTAATAGTTTTGAGAATCCATTTGTTGTCATAACTGAAGAAGAAGAACTCCCCCGATTTGCCTCCATCCACATTGATCATATTTTCAATCAACTCAGCATTCTTTTCCAGCGAGAAGGAATCATAAGCATCGATGTCCAAGTTGTCAAATTTAAATAACTAAATTTATATGGATAAGATTACATAGTAAAAATACTTGGGAGCCAAGGCAAACATCTTCGGATTCTTGCCCTTAGTGTGTTGGGTTTCCTTAACGTAAAAATTAAACTCCTTGTTCAGTGCTTAATTATTAAGTTTGTATTTGTCCAGAGTCCGTGCTATAGCTATTTGATCCTCACTCAGAGTTTCCCTTATGAGATGAGCATTTAATGTGATATCATTATTGTATGTTGCCCTTGCCTAGATTATCAACTGCGAAGTTCTCTCAGCATCAGTCTCAGATCCATCCACATTCTCCTCCAATTGAGAATCGTCTAAATACTCTTCAATGTTGTTGAAATACTAAATTATCCCTGCCAACACACTCCTAATTTGAAACATCCTTATGAACTTCTGCACTTCAATGAATTGTGTGTCCACATCAACAATCTCAATCTCCTTCTTCGGTTGTGGATAAAATGCTTTATGAACCATGTTAACAATCTTACGCAACAGAGCAGGATTCTTTACTCTCTGATAGCATAGAATGCCAGAACCCAAAGTGTAAAAGAAACAGGTCGATATCAGCATCACTATGTCCAAATTCGCTGGTTTATATGACGGATGTTCACTCGTTTAGATAAAAGTGCTGAGCATGATCAGAAGAGATAGAACTATGGTCGAGATGATGTACATGACGTATCTGAAGAGCGACGACTTTTTGTTGGTTCTAAAAGTGTCGTCATTCGGTAAGTTCTAATAGAAGTACCATATTGTGTATAGTGCTGATATGATGTACACAAATTCAAATACGTAAAGAGCCAATGGCAAGTAGTTCCTTTCCAAGATTATCGTGTTGATGCAGCTGTCCACCACTGTCTTCGTTGCTCCTTTTTAGATTTCAGGCTGGAAAGCAAACAGAATCAATGAAATACATAATGTGAACACTAAACAGAAGGAATGAAGGAACATCTTAAACTTCGCATTCGTTTTCAGCACGTTCGTGATCTCCTACCTAAAATAGCTTGGAGGATTACCTCATCGTGAAGCAGTATGCAAAATTGTATATAAATTAACCTAAAAACCCCAAGTTCTGTGTAAAATCAACCCACTTGCAATAAGACGACTCATTCAAGCTTTTCTCTGGATTACTCGGAGAATTAACATCAGGACTTGACATCATCCAATATATTGAAGTACTCAATTGGGAGATCCCCAAAGCAAACACTATGTCTCCTGGAGATTTACGACCGACCTTCCATGCCAAATAAGTGAACACAATGAAAGAACTGCAAACCACATTCACACATGCAAAAGCAATTAGTGTATAGAAATTCTAAGACATATCAATAATATTATTCAAAATTATAATCCCTTTACCACTTTCAACAATTTCTGAATGTTTCCGACACTTTTTCCATATCATCTGAATCCATATTCTGATCCCCCTTCTCAGTTGCATAATTTTACTGTTTGAAATGATCCAATCTCTTTCACTGATTCAACTTTCCCCCTTCCTTCTCATCTGAAGTGAGTGAATCCAACATCAATCTACCTTAGTCTATAAAATAAATCATAAATGGCCTGAAAATCCTTAAATAATTTCTTGTTTTTAGATTCACTTCAGAAATTTCTTAAACTGTTGCACTTAGTTGCAAAATCAAATTTTGACAGGTACTCGCCATCTTTTAATTACATCTACTACTAAATCGATTTTAATTGATTCTGTATAACTTTCTATTACCTAAGCTTGAATTTCAGTTGAATTTTCAGTCCAATGCTTTTTATTGATAAAAAACTCTATTCTCATGTATTATTATTTTCTTCATCTAATTTGCTTAATCCAATCAGATTGATTTGAAACTTAATTTGCTATCTGAGATTCCCTAAAATCAAATCTAAATTTTAAGCACAACATTTTTGGATTTTTTGGAATTAGTTAAACTTTAGGAATCAGTGAAAGCATTAATTGATTCCATTCTTGACTATTAATCTAATACCTCATTAATATGCTAAAATCAAAATAGAATTCCTAGTTCTTCCACGTTATTTTAATCATGTAATTAATATACTTATTCAAATCGATAATCCTTTATATAAGAGATAATTTCTTAATCCGCTATTAGATTATCAGTATAATTCTCCTATACATTCTTCTCTTTTCTATCTGATTTATACCCAAAACTCCTCCTTTTTTGGTAATTTTTACATTATTTACATTAGGTAAATTTCACTTTCAAAATTAATTCTGCCTTCAGTTCTTTATCACTCTTTACTTGTTTTTTACTAAACCTAATACATTTAAGTAATAGTCTTTTTCAAACTTTGCCTTGAAATTTAAAGGAAATTGTAGTTGAGGAGATTATTTGATTAATAAATTAATAAATGTCTGGACAAAGACAAGAGATGGAATTGATTAAGCAAGGGTCAAAATTAGCTAAATCAAGCAAATAAGCATTGAAAAGAACAGGGACGATATTGTCTGATAAATCGAGTTCTTCTTTTGAGGATAGTAGAGTAACTTTGTTACTATTTGAAAAATACCGAATCGTAGAGATGACCAGATTTTGTGTGATATTTGCATGCTAAATCTTAGCTATCCTATAGGTATACATCTAATCCTATTGTTTTCTCCTTTTCTAGTACGAAAGCTCGTTTCAGGATCAATTTGAATAGAACTTTGATAGCGAAACTACTCTGCTCCTTTACCTAATTTTCTTTTAAACCATAGTTGCAAGTAAATTACCTATTTATCGTAGTCACTCTTACTTTAACCTCCTACCAAGTCCTATTAGCATACCAGAAGAAGGCTATGATTGTGACCCCACAAGCCAGTCTTCTAGAATCCAATCTCATTTATGGACTCATAATAGAGGTGTTATTAATGATCCCTTCTCCCACTCCTTTTACTCAGAGGATCAAGGTTCCATTTCATTAACGTTATACAGACGCCCCGCGCTATTATTACGTGAATGAAATTCTAACTTACCTTCTTACCTGTCGAGTGGCCTTGCTAATCAACATCGCACTCAAATTTTAAGCATTTTACAGTAGCTAAATTGGCAGATTATGGTTTACTACTTTAATTCTATTTTTAGTCGTCTCTATTCCACAGATTTTGATACACATTTGGTATTCAAAATATGCATGAAAGACATTCCTGGGTTTACTTTGATGGGCTTATTTTGTGCTGGAATGCTTCTATTTGGCTACAGCATGGAAATTGCAGAAAGAGCCCTTTTACGCGATGAAACCTCATTTACTAATTACAATGTCGGCCAGTCACTTTGGGTCACTCTCATTACAATTGCTACTGTTGGTTATGGTGATTTCTATCCCACAACTGATTTAGGCAGGATTTCCATGGCTGTCTGTGTATTCTGGGGTGTTTCCAATACTTCACTCTTTACTGCTATGCTCTACTCGATGTTGCAAGCAGAAACCAGCGAGGAATTGGTTTGGGCTTTGCTTGAAAAAGCAAACGTGAGGAATATCATGAAGGCTTTTAGTTAATATTTGTTTGTCAGAATCCAGAAGCTCAAATTAAAGGCTTCAACTGAAAACAAGAATGATAAAAGCAACTACAAAGAATAAGTTGATTTGATTCAGGAAACTTTAAAAGCAATTAGTTAAATGAAAAGATAATACAGGGATATCGATGGGGAAGCCACCATGGTCATGGCAAAGAGGAAGTTCAAAGATATAAATAACATGTTTGAAGAACAAATTTCTTATTTGAAGGAATCTAAACGACTGCAATTCCTCACAAACATCAATTTTTAATATTGCTATAAATCCAATGTTACTTCAGATTAGAAACATAAGCAAAGCTCCCCGCACATTCAAACTTATCAAACCGATGACAAGCAAAGTAAAGACGAAGCCTTTTTTGCCAATTTGTAAGACAATGAATCCAATCTCCTTTTGATGGACTTTCGTGATTGACTATATTTTATTAAAGAATTATGAAAAATATCTTATTTAAAATTAATTAGCTAATTTAATTATGACATTTAAGTTGTATCTAAACAGCTTTCTGGTTCAGTTAGCATAATGTATTGAAATATAACTGCGATTTTATCGAATTAATATAGAAGTATGAAAATTCAATTATAATTTTGAATATACAAAATTTGTTTATAAATTAAACCCAAATATTTTTAGTCAATATAATTAGTTTTTGATTCTGAGACTTTAAACATATTTATTGAGAAAATAATCAAAAAACAACTTTTATTATGATAAATGCTATTGTATAATTAATTTTAACTATAAATTATGGATAAAGAAAGAATACGCAAATTTAATGATTTTGAATAATTAAATCATCAGGATAATTGATATTTAATTTTCAATCAGTAATTAATGTTGTTTGAAGAATTTACAAAGCTGTTCCATAACTTATAGGTTGAGTGACTGAATTATTTAATTTATGATTAATTCTAGAATTAAGATAATGTATAAATATAATTGTAAATCAAACATTTAGCAATTCTACTTTGTAATCAAGGGGAAGTTTTTAAACAATTTCTTTATATCCTTAAAATTTTGCAAGTAAGCAATAGATGAAACGTATTTCATTGTCTTCTATGTCACAGCTTTTATTATTGTATGAATTTAATAATAATAGCATAAACTCCCTATTTTCAGCCATAATTTATTAAGATGCATATTCTTTCTCAATCTCTAAATTATTCTTAAATTAATCCCATTAAAAATCAATGAAATTTAGTATTACTTCATTCGTATAAATTCTCTTTATTACTCTCAGTCTTTTAGTTTTGGGATCGATGCTGGTGATTTGTGGACATATCCTGGCTTAGGCTAAATTTTTAAAACAATTGGAAGTTGATTTTTGAATTAGTTAAATCGCTGATTTGGGCTTTTAAGATTGGTGAAAATTTATATTTATAGAGGAATTTATTGTTGAGAATAAATGATTCTAAGATGAAGAACAATTTATTGTTTATGACAATCTTTGTTTACGATACTGCATCAAAAGTTATTATAAATCATCAAATGTTAATCTCTCTTGAGGATTATATCTTATCATTTTTTAAATAGGATTGAGAAGCTCTTCACTAAAATGTTGTTAATTAATGTTGGATGGATTGATTTTAATTTGGTATGGTACAGATTTGATAAGATTATGAAACTACATCACTTAATCATGAGTGCATTCAAACGGCAGTTTTCCACATATCAATCTTATTAATACCATGCCAAGCTTTAATAAAACAGAAAATTACAGAATAAATATCAGAAGCTTCTTAGTTTTGATTGCTCTAAATTTTAAGGAAGAGCTCATCCTTTGAAGACTTTGGAAAAATCTCAGGAGCTATGTACCCAATATTTGTATTATTATTTGAAGTAGCATATGACACAATATCTCCTATCTTGTATTAACTTGTATGCTAAGATTTAATTATAAAGATATTGTTTGTATTTATTTTTCCATGGAACATATTTTAATCATGCAAACATTTGTATCCTTTGAGAAATTCATTTAAAAATTCTTTTATCTGTGTCTCATTGAATTTTTGGCTTTGTTATTCCAAGTTCTCTTAACATTTTTCCATAATTATTAAATACACTTTTTAAAGAGGATCATATTCAATATAGTAAATTGGAACAAGATTTTGATTTTTACTGTTCTGAGTGATTTAGTAGATTTTCTTATAGTCTATCTCGTGTTCGTTCGAATAAGAAAACTCACAAGTAGATATGAATTAATACTTTTGCATAAAGAGACTTTAGAAAACCTTCTCCTTTTGTGCAATTGAAAATATTAGTATAACTATCTTCGTAAATTGGATTGCCTTCAATGCTATAATCCTCCCCTCCGATTTTAAAGATCATTTATTGAAAACAATTATTATTATGTTGATAGAATTTGAATTAAACTTATTTATATTCAATTAAATAACAACAATATGTAGAAGCGAAGAACAATTAATCAATAACTAACCTTTTTCAACTTTTGGTAATCAAAATATCCTTCTCCTGACTTTGTTGTAAATTATTTATAATTAATATATATCAATATCATTTTATTTCTTAACATAATCTTATCCGATAATAGATATGATGTTTTCACATTAAAAATAAAGATAGCTCTAAACTGAATTAAAAGAAAACCTTGATCACGACTTAAGATGAAACATAGAAATTAGGTGATGCAAGATTAATTTTTATTCAAGCAATTTTTTCAGCTTAAAATATTAAAGCAAACTTCTCAATAAAGGGATAGAAATTAGAATTAGGTATACACTTATCATAACAAATGCCTCAACAAGATAATAATCAATTGAATTTCAATTGAGCTTATTTCTTAATCAATTTATCATATAATTGCAATGTTAAGCAACTAAGAAATAATTTGAGAAGACATAGACAATTAATTAATTAATAGATTTAATTCTTTTATTGAATTCACTCAGAGTAAAAAAAAAATTCTCTTTTTCACCATTCGAAAGTAATATTTGTAAGAAATTAACCTCTTTGAAGATTCATTAAGAAAGAACTTAAATTAATGTTTCTTAAATGGTTAGGAAGTGATCACCCTTCATTTTTTATAAACTGACTAATTTTATATTAATCAACCATATATACTTTTTCTACATCTTCAGCTTCTTATTTTTTCTCTCTCATTCTTCTATATTTTTAATTTAGTTTTTACTCTCTGCTTTTAATGACTTTAGGTAAAGCAAATAACACATAAGGATTACTAATATGATATTATTTAAGCCGTTTAGTTGAGTGTTCTTAAGAAATAAATCAGTTTGGTTCTCCGAGAATAGATCTTCTCATCTATATAAAAAATAATTTTGACTTAATATTTCTAATATTTGTTCATAATGGCAAGGATTTCATTTATATCAATAATTTACTACTTGAAAAGGTAATAAAATATAATTAAATTCAGATGAGATAATTTTTAAATATCAATAGGAAAAATGAGAATAGATAACTTCATTTATTAAGGCCCTACCAGGAACACTTGGGAATAAATTAAATATCATAATATGTTTAAATTAATTTAACAATATATTACTGACTTTTATTTTTTTCTTAGTTAAATGGCATTATGGCTCGTAGAAAAATTCTTCCTAAGTAATTTGAGAGATATGTGATTCTATTTTATTGAACAAGGGATCATAATCAGAGTAGTGAAATATAATATACGACTCTTAGAATGCTAGAAACTTCTAAATTTTCTCAGATACATACTCTAAGGACATTTATACTACTATCAATGCTATTGATTAACTTAACTTTAGGAGGATATAATGTAAATATTGATGTTAAAACATATAATCTTTAATTCTATTAAGTGAGAGATAAAATTATAAACCTGTAAAACTGAATAATTAATTCACATTTCCTTATCCTAAACCTTTAAGAATAAATATTTTTGAGTCAATCTAAATTATGTGGAAATCGTTTAATCTCAATTCATGGCGTATTAGATAAATCCCTTAATTATACAAATGAACACTTAATTAAATCAAATTACATTATTAAGTTCTAAATTTATGGTAAAAATATAAAAGTTTTATCCTTTGTTAATAAGGGCGTCTACTTTGTTTAACTTAAGAATTTTAGTTATTAAGTATTAATCACAAGCTATTATGTGACCATATTAACATAAACGAATGGCAACCAGTCTCATAATTCAAATAACTCATCCTTAAAATAAAACTATTTCTTAAATCTTTAGAAATCAATTAAGGTACATTCAAGCAAATTAAAGTTATTCTTCATTTACTTAGTTAACTTGGTCATTTATTTTTCAAAGCGGCTTGGATCTTATTATTAAAAATTTGGAATATGATAAGAGGTCCATTATATTATCTAGCTCTATAACTGAATATATCAAACTGTCTTATTACATTTTAAACTGGGCTTGTCTCAACCTTTTATGTCTATGCCACAAGCAATATATTATTTACTTCTTCAGCGCCTAATAGAGAGTTTAGTACCACAATCCATTTTTAACAAAGCTTTTCCAATGTGCCAGAAATCTTCATAATGAATCAAGTCTACGATTTAAATATTGGAAGTGAGTAGGGCTTTTAGATGTATATCTTAGATATTACAGTGTCAAGTAAACTTTATTTTTAACTTTTCAGGTTTTGTAGTCAAAATCCTATTACCATATTCAGCAGTATATAATGGTATTGAATTCAGATACTACGCCTTTGATGACAAACGCAGAAAAGTGATATCCAGGTTAAATTAGTTCAGCCCAGCCAATGGGATTATTAAAATAGCTCATCCCAATCCAAACTTCGTTGTTGGAATCTCATCAGTGATAAGTTTAGAATATCAAAGTTCATTTAGTTATCATTTATATGTATTACCATTTTTCTATTATAGGTATCACAAGTTACAAGCACTGATTGTTCCATAACTATTTCAATATCGAATACCATTACTTAGATTGGATATTAAGTACTGCTTGGCACCAAGGATGCATTTTATCTTTATGAGACTGTTTATGCTACTTCCATTCCCTCTTATGTAGGAGCATTCAACTTTGAATCAGGTTGGGAAGATTCTTAGTTACTAGCTGTTTATTAAGGAATTTCTTATCAACCACACACTACATTTAGATTAAGAATCAATAGAAATAATGCTGTATTGACTTAAACAAATTATGATATAGAATTATGTATAATTTACTATAAATTACTAGGGGCTGGAAGCGTGTTGGAATCAGTTTATCATAAATATGGTGGAATAAGAGCATAGTGGGATTCAGGATATTATTAAACTTTTTAACTTGTTAAATATTTTGTCTCAAGGAATTATGATAAAAATATAGCTAGTATATTAGACTCATTTGAATTTATAATTCCAGAACTGAATTTCTAAACTAAAATTGAAGGGACTTTTACCTTTGATATCAGTTTGTCAATCACTGATTTTACATTAATCTTTAATAGGAAATGTGAACATGGAAAAAAACTAATCATGTAATTAATACCTAAAGATGATTGTTCTTCCACTTATTATGAATATTAAATAAATTGTGAATCCAAATTTAATATTTGCAAATAAAAATTATACTTTTAAACTTAGACACCTCTAATCTCAAAATTGAAAATTGAAATTGTTTCTGACTTTTCATTTAAAATTCAACACAATTATATAGATTAAAATGAAAAATTTACATATATTGCTAATATCTAATATGTATGATGACAAATTTGATATAAATTATTTTATTATTATATATTAAACAAATTCATATTTTTAAATTGAAAACCCCACAATTCATTCATTCAAATCAATTGCTAAATTCGATAGCTTATTTGAAAAGGGTGAAGTTTTTTGATTTCCACCTGGTAGAAATCTACCCCAACAAGAGTAACTATTAAGTTAAATTTGTAATAAAATTTTCTGATTTCATAAATAAATTCTAAAATTATAAAAATTTGCTTATGAATAACTGTTATCAATTCTTTATCAAGAAAGACCGAACTGAGGGATTAAATAAAACAATCCCGTTTCATTAATTCTGGAAGGAATTAAATAAACGAGTTGACTTTATAAAAAGTAAGCCAATACTTAATAAATATTTGTTAACTTTTAACTAATAAGAAAAATCAAGATTTTGTAAGCATTAAAAAAGTTAATAATTAATTACTAAGAATAATTTATTGAATCAGATTCATAATATATCATCAAATATGCAAAAGTAAAAAATTGCTTGTAAATATAAGATTGCAACACATAATTTTGCCATTAATTATTGTACATATGATAAACAATCTCAAACTCCAGTCGTATCATTTAATGAAATTTACAAAAAATCTTTGGGGAAACAATTATCTCAGTTTCTGAATTTTAAACATATAAAATTGAACTGAAAATAAAATTGGAAAAATAATAGCTTAAAATTACATTATTTTTCTAGATTTCATTGGTAAATTCCAGGAAATGGCATTATAAGATTGAGGATGTATATTGATGTTGGATAAGTATTTAGATCAATTGAAAACCATATTCATTTCTTATATTTAATCAATATTATCCATACCCACAAAAAGAGTATACTACTTTAAAGAATTCTTCAATTTCAATTAAGTAAAACCAGTACTATGGAAACGATCAATACTTTTATATTGAAAAAACTTAGCCAATTTCTCTAAGTTGTAAAAACTAAGAAGGCAAACAGTTTTGTATTCGATTTCCATTATTTAGAGCCCAGGCACTTTTTTTTCCTTTTTAAATAGTTATGCCACAAATAATACGACCCATTCAATTTTATGATTAACATTCTTGAGGTTCATTTGAATTAGAATTATGAGAATGAATTTTGTTATTTGTCAATTGGTATTAAAAAATATTTGATCATATTTTTTTTAATTTGGTATTGAAAAAAAATTCAAAAATAAAATAAAAGCTTCTAATTATTATATCATCATAAATTCGGTTGGTCATCATAATAATTTATCGAAATGTGACTGTTCTATTTTTTTGAATAATGTATATTTTTGAAACAATATCTCATATATTTAAATATTCAATATACTGCTTATTATACCGATTGCGTGTTTTTTCGAAAAATACATAACATTAGATTAGTAGATTGGAAAAGTTTCAAATTATGGTATGGAACTTACAACCTTCATGACAATTATGTCTAATATTATTTGATTTTGAAAATTAGAGCATTTCTAAAACTCCATAAAAGATGAGGGACTATATTTAGATGATTGATTAAAATGAGTTTTAAGTGGGAATTGATGATTACAAAACCTCAGTAATTATACTTATTTTTAATTGAAAACATAGAATTAAATCAATAAGTTTGAATGACTAACTTCAATTATTTTTCAAATAAAATTAATTTTATTGGATAGTGATATGAAAAGATTGCAAGTTTAATTACTAAAGAGAATAAGGATTCTAAAAATTACTGAATCTTAATATGATAATCAATATCTGTAGAAATTTAAATAGAATGAGTTATAATTTTAGTGACTCTTCAAATTAAAGAAATACTTAATAATTTAACATAAAATAATTATATATAATTAAAATTTTAATATATTAATTAATATTTATAGTTATTTAATTTACATCGTTTCACATTCTAGCCTAAAATCCAAAATGCACGAAGAATTATAAATCTTAATATTATCCAATAATGGTACTACTTCTTTTAATTTGATTCTTTCTTCATTTTATCAACATAGTTTTTATGAAATTTGTATTCAATTTCAACATAGGGTAATTTCTACTAATATATTGTATTCTTCTTTATATAAATCAACTTTTGCAAATTATTTCTATTTAGTACAATTTAGGAGATTTCACTTTTCACATATTGGAATATTGGACATGACCTTCTCAATTGTTATTTTAATACGAATACTTATTATTATTAATTAATTTTCTTAATTTTGATAAATAAATAATTTTTGTTTAAATTGTGAGTTGGTTGACAAATGATGTTTTGCATATTTAGTGTTGTTTACTTGTGTTGGTTTCTTTTATATAAAATTTCTCCTTTTTTTTTTAAAAATCAAAAAATTGACGGTTTAAAAATCAAGATTACAAGTTCAAAATAAAATGATAATTGATGGATTGAATAATTTCCTAAAACGCTTAGAAAGTTTGAAATGTACTATAGTTTTTGTAGGTAATTTTGTATTTTTTAAGACAATAAAAAAGTTGTAGTATTATTATAGAATTTAATCTACGTAGAATATTCGACGTTAATAAAGTAAAAATGACAGAGACGGATAGAGAATCAAATTTATTTATAGTAAACGAAATATGGACATATTATTTTTGGCTCTTATTGCATTAGTAATGGGGGATTGGTAAGTCTATTATAATGGTTTTCACTAATCAACCTATCTTTACTGTACTGCTAATACTTGCCCCTATTAATTCAAATATAGTGGAACATAATCTAGTGCCCTATTTACAAATTGTACAAATCCTTTAGGAACTGCATTAGTTTTAAAATCTTCCTAAATGATGGCTACACTAAGCGAATAAGTCAACAACTTGAAAATAAATGGCAAAAATCATATTTTAAATTTTGATATATACTTTCTAACTTAGTGGAATGGGGATAGTTTGAAATTAGAGTATAAATCTTAAATCTACTAGTTTTAATTTACCACATAAAATCCTTTATAATTTAATTCTGGAGGCTGTAATTCAAGTTAATATTAAGTGAAAACAATTAAGATAGCATTAGAATAAGTCACTTCTTTAGCGAATTTAAAATTCAGTATCGTTAACGAATAAAGCTTGGCTTTAATTAAAAATGTTCATTTTTCTTATTATTTATGTCATTTTACATGTAAAACTTGTTCTGGAGATAATTATAATTAATGCACATCATGCTTTTTAGGTGCTAGCTTAACTGATGGTACATGTCGATGCCCCATCAGAACTGTTTTATCTGGTGAGCCACCTTCTAATTATAAATGCATGAGCATTTGTTTGCTTGGATCTACAGATAAAAGAGAGAGATATTGCAAACCCTTCGAAATACAATACGCGCTTTGGCTTTAGCTTTAAACTTATAGTTATTCATAGCTAATTAAGTGGAACATAATTTATGACCCTGCAAATTTAAGCAATAATAATAAAAAATTGGGACCCTTTTTCGGAGTTTTCAAAAATAATGAAGGAGCTTAAATAACAATTAGTACGAGTTAATTCTTCTATCCCCTTAGTGTATAAGTTTACGTTTTATTTTGTAACGCCACTCCAAGCAACTCTGGAATTTCAATTTATTTAAATTCGACATATTATTCTTCGTTTTATTATAATGGAGCCAATTTTGAAACAGATAATATGTAATTTTTTGCTTCAAATAACGTACCATTTAATGGATGCTAAACAGCTAGTTCGTATTTATTGTAAACAAATCTTTATGTAGAATAAGGAAATTTTAATTTTTCAATAAAAGGAAATTTTACGTAATTAATTTATTATTTCTGATTTAGAAATTCAAATTCTGGATGGTACATTATTTATACTTTAATTGCATGCGCTTAATGCCCTGCATATTGTTTAAAGTGTGAAAGAGAATATGAATGTTCTATTTGCTCAAGTGGATATAAAATAACATCAGATAAAAAATGTGTCTTAAATTGCCCCAAAGATTCATTATTCTCAAATAATATTTGCGTGAAATATGATTAAACCACAAAATGTATACTATTTGAAATATATTTAGATTCATAATATTTTATGAGAAAATTCCTTGATTTTACAATTCCAGATAATTTACCTGAAATCTTTATTTTAGTGTCCTCAACAAGCAAGGATTTTTAGAAAGGGGATTTAATATATTGGTCTTACATAACATCAAAAGCAGTATTTGGAGGATAATACGTTTGGGCAACCGCAAAATTTTCTTAAACGTTTATTGAGAATATTTGATTTATTGCCCTATACAATAGATAAACCACATCATTCATTAAGTATTTATTTTGATGCAATTTTTGGATGTAATTTTTAGAGTGGAGGAGGATATTTAATATACTCAATTAATACTACAGAAACTTAAGTGAATCAGAATAAAACAGTAATAATAAATATTCCATAATCTTCACCTACATTATTAATAACTTTCGAGTGTTTTGGATCAAATAATAATGTTTAGGATAGATATTGTGCTTTATCTGATTATTAAATAGTCGTCCATTATTGTAGTCCATTTTGTTTAGAATGTTCTGATGAAAATACTTGCATTTAAATGGCAACTTTTGATACTTCAATTATTAAATTAGATCCTTCTCAATGTGGTCTTTAACAATTTCTCGATTATTAATATTTTAGATGTGAGAGTTGTCCTTCAGAATGTTTAGCTTGTTTTAACGAATATGAATGTACTTAATGCATTTATCCATATAAACTCCATATTACCAGATGTATATTAACGTGTTCGACAATTTAATTTTTTAATATCCAAACTTAGTATTGTGAAGGTAAAACAATAAAAAATTTTAGACTGCAGTTTTAAATGTAAATAATGTAGAAATTCGAGAGATTTCTGCATTCATTGTGAAGAATAACATTACCGTTATTTAAAACTAAATTAATGTATATGTTATGATGGATATTATGATGATAATACAGGGGGTAAATGTAGAGTTTGCAACAAATTATGTAAAAAATGTTATGGATCATCTAATGATCATTGCAGTCAATGTATTTAGCTCGATAAAATTGAGAAAAAAGGTGATGTTTGTGATTGCTAAGAAGGATATTATTTTGATGAATCTGGTTTTAAATGTAACTTGTGCAATTAAAAATGTAAGACTTGCTTTTCATCTCTTGATAATTCCTGTTTAAGCTGTAATCCTAATGAATACAGAAGTTTAAAGGGAATCTCGTGTATATGTTAATTAGGATATTATGAAGTAAGTGATATCTGTTAAACATGCCCATCATCTGAAGATGCAAGTTTATATTAGTGTTACAAAAAATGTGGAAATGAAATACTTAAATGGCATAATTAACCATGTGACGTAGTTACTTGTTAGTAGGGTTTCTAGAATGTTAACAATGAATGCATCCCAATATGTGGTGACTTATTATTAAAAGGTGATGAAGAATGTGAAGATGGAAATTAAGAAATTAATGATGGTTGCAAAAACTGTAAATTTTAATGCCCAAAATAATGTTTGACTTGTAATCATTTAACAGTTTTTCCTTGCCCAGATGTATGTGGAGATGGAATTACAAGTGGTCTTGAAGAATGTGATGATGGTAATAATATTTAATTTGACGGTTGTTATGATTGCAAGTTAGATTGCTAAGTTTAATGTACAAAATGTATAAGAGGTTTATGTTATGAATGTTTAACATATGGTTGGATTATCAACATTGATACACTGTAATGTATTGAGAACTGCGGAGATTCAATAGTTATAGGGTCAGAAGAATGTGATGATGGATATAATCTGGACAAAAATGATAATTGCTTTTAATGTAAGCGACTCTGTAGGAATGATTGTAATACGTGTAGTTCAGATGGAAAGACTTGTTTGGATTGTAAAGTTGTTGGATTCAAACCTTAAAGCTATTTTTGTGTTAATATTTGTGGGGATGGGTACCTTGCAGTTGATCCCTTTGGTAGAAGTACAGAGGAATGTGATGATTTTGATTTAATTGCCAATGATGGATGCAGCACGACTTGTAAGTTATAATGTTAAACTTCTATTTGTTTGACTTGCCAGAGTGGAAAATGTTAAGAATGTGTTGATCATTATTACCTAGATACTAAAAGCAATAAATGTTTAGAAAAATGCAATGATAATGTAAAAATTGGAAATGAAAAATGTGAAGATATGAATACTTTACTTTATGATGGCTGTTATAACTGTTAATTATCTTGTCAACCTAGTTGTTTGAACTGTCAAATTAATGGTTGTTTGTAATGTTAAATAGGATTCAGGTTGATTGAAAATAAATGCTAGAATATTTGTGGAGATTAAGTAATTGTTTCTGGGGAAGATTGTGATGACGGTAATATAAACCCTTTTGATGGTTGTCATTTTTGTTAGTTTCAATGTGGTCCCAATTGCTAAGAGATATAAATCATCACTTTCATTAATATGTTAATTAGGATATAAAATATTTAATGGAATTTGTGGTATTTAATAGAGATAAAATATTTAAATTACCCAAAAAGAATAACTTTTAGAATAAAATCATTTGAGCTCATCATATATATAATATTGCAGCTATTATATCAATGAAATTTGTATTATTTGTGAAGAGCACTACTACTTAAATGCGAATAGGTCTAGATGTGAAAGTAAATGTGGAGATAATTACATTAACGATTTTGAGTAATGTGAACACAATTTAATTTAACATAATATTATTTGTTCGAACTGCTAATTTTAATGTAAAGGTAATTGTAATTGAATGCTTGTTTGGATTCGTGTCAAACTTGTGAATAGGACTATTTACCTGATTGAAAGAAACCAATGGATTGCCTACTTAAAGCTAAGTTGTGATCCTGAAGAAATGGTCTTTACTACAATTATTTCTAATTAATTAATGTTACGCACGTATGTGGGAGAATGGTGTAAAAAATCTATCTATGAAGACTGTGAAGACGGTAATTTGGATCCATATGATGGTTGTTTTGAATGTAAATATTCTTATAATCCTCTATGCCCATAATGTATCGCTGGAGTTTGTACAGATGATGGTACGGCATGCTAGAAAGGCTATTATTTTGATTCATAAACTGTATCTTGTTTTAGTGCTTGTGGTGATGAAATAGTAGCAATTCCAGATGAAGAATGTGACGTGCTAAACTCTAGAAAATGATTAAATTGTAAATTAACCATAGATAAGAATTGTAAGAGATTAGATGAAAATAACTAATGCTTGACTTGCTTAGATGGCTATTTTCTAGAGGATGAATTATGCGAACCTAAATCAAATTAAACATGTGATATTCAAACTTGTATGATTTGTGAAAATAATATTTGCATCCAATAATTTACAGATGCTAATAAAAGTACTAATTACAATAATAATAATAATACTTATTATTATAATAATCCTTTAGAAAATTTTATCCAAGCTAAATGTGGAGATGGGGATATCAATTAAAATGAACTATGTGATGATGGCAACTTAATCGATGGGGATGGATGTGATTCAGACTGTTAACCTTCAAAAAATAGCATTTGCTATTTAAATGAATGTATTTAAATCTATCATCCTGTCCCTTAATTGAAATTTGTTAAATCAATTGAGAACTGCTAAATTCTTTCTTTAACTTATGATTAGAAGATCAGACTTTCTCTTAATAATACATTAGAATAATACTTAAACTCATTATCTGGTTCTGTCGTAAACACTAAAGTAAATGTTTCAATTGAAGCAAATATTAAGCCATCTTAGGAATTAGACTATGCTGAAATAATAATACAGATTTTGTATTTAGAAAGAGCTGTTGATCCCATCTTTATTCTAGATTTTCTTGATCTGAGCATCATCATCAATGAATAAGAATTAGAATAAGAATATTAACAAATATAGATGTAGTTAGCATCTCCTAATCTTTTATCAATCGAAGAATAAAGGACTACTGGGTCTATCATTTTATTTAGTGAGTATCAACTATAAATTATAGCTGGATTAGTACTAATATCATCTTTAAGTGGAAAATTTTAAATAATATGTAAATGTTATATTATTACAAATATATTAATATTATCAAGGGATAAAATTTGATAAAATTTTTTGACACGTTTAAAATAATTTAATTAGCAAACTTTTATGAATTTATTGGATTTTAACCCTAATCCTTTATTTTTTTCGATGTATCTTAGGAAAATTCACCATCAATCTTCGAAGATGATGGAAGAAGCTCAAATTTTTTGAGTGCTTTTTTAGAAGTATTCTCTATTTTTTTCTTAGCCTATTTCAGCCATTTATTCTCCTAAATAATAATTAAAAAACTTCTAAAGTGTATTTCATAATTTAATACTGAAAGCCCAAAACTTTATTAATTAAAAGTATTGAAGCAATTAACAAAAATTTGCAAGAAACATTATGGAATTTAATTTAAAGCATAATTTAAAGTTATATTCTAATCTCTTATTTATGAATATGTTATTAACATGATGTTATCATTTCAATATTAAAATAACTACAATTTATAAGGAATAATAAGTTTGACCCTAAAGATTATGTTACTAATCTTGATAATTTAATATTTAATCAACAAATAGAATTAAAGATTTAGCGAATTTTAGTATACTTACAGTTGTATACAAAAGATAATTTTTAGTATAATTTTAGTAGGATGTTTTGAATGTCCAATAATTTAAATATAGCTTTGTGCTATCAACGAACTATGTTATTTTTCATTTCTTTTTATTAAACGAAATGAATTAGAAAAATTTGAAGGTTTTAAGAAGTAATTTAAGCATTTAACGTTTTTCTTTATGAATGTGATTTATTCGATTCATGAATTTTCTAAAAAAAATCCGCCGAATTTGATTACTCTAGGATGGATCTAAATTGGAATTATGAGTTTTAATTTAAGCACTCTACTTTGATATTAGATGTATACGTCTTGTTAAAGCCAGCCTTTTTGAAAATTGTTCAAGCTTGTCTTCAAAAATATTGTGATTAGTAAAATAAAAGATTTGCAAATTATCAACTTTTCGAGTTTAGGGGATACAAACACCATCAAGCAATCAGCAATCCAAAGAGTGTTTTATAAATGATAATGCTTATGTCTGCTAAGTTAGAAAATTAAAATATATATTAAATAGAATCTTTTATATTTTATTAATATTTTAATCTTTATAATTTGAATCAATATATATTATTTACTAATAGTAATATTTATAATAATAATAATAATAATAATAATAACTATAAATGTCAATTAAAAAATTATCATTATTCTAATTTTCAGTTTTAATTTATATTTAAAAAGAGATTTCTTGCAAAATAAATTTAATGGGATGATATAATCATTGATTTTAATGCTTTCTTACTTATATTTCTCTTTACTATCATCATCATATGTTATTAAGTAATCTCCATACCATAAATGTAACCAGTTCCAAACTAAATTGATTAATTAGTCACTAATTCTTGAATCTCCATTTACCTCATGATATTTATATGATAGCAATTTTATTGAGCAAAACAGAATTTTGATTTAATATATTTTTGAGGAAAGTATATTTAAACAACGTCCTGCTTTACTGATGCTTGCTTGTTTTTTAAAAATTACAAGTATATGTCATCAATTTCAAAAATGTGCATCTGTTCTTTGGATTTCAGCTAAAATGTAACATTTAATCATTTATTAAGCATAATCTACATCCACACTAATTAACGAATCATGGTCTATATTTACTTCCCAAATTTAACCATTAACTAGTTATTAATAGATTATGATAAAATTCTCTCCTTAAGCGCATGATATTAGTTATTTGATGAATAATTTAAACTAATGCAATTAACAGAATTGTTATGAACAGTTAATATTTACAAGCACTTCCATGATGATTAAGCATTCTTATCCCAAAATCTGATGGCTTAGTAACTATTTCCAGAAATAATAAGTACCTCATTCCTATACAATTGACATTATCATTGTGTCCTTTTAATTATATTTGAAAATCCATTCGACACTTTCATCTAAATTCCATAAATAATTGATTTGTCCCCTACTCATAAAAGAAATCTATAAGACGTTTACATAAAAGATAAGCAATAAATAAAGAGTTATAATTGTGTAATTCTTGAAGCACATTCAATTTTTCATGTTTGAACTCAAACACTTTTATTTTTTACATGAAATGTATCCAGCTAACCTTTAATGAAGTCGTAGTATTCAAAGCAAAAGCATACATATCATCATCTTTATTTAATTAACCAATTCATATTTCAAAGTTT